CTCGCTCTGCAGCCGCGGCGAGCAAGGGCCTGGAAAACAACAGGCGACGCGACCCTTCTAGCTGCTGGTGATATTCGTTTTCGAAGCGAAGTTTTCACAACGGGGCGAACGGCATTGGTGCCTGACCTCACGACGGCGCGTCTCCGCGCTAAACTTCATCTGTGTGCGCGTTAGTTTCGACTTGGTGGAGAAAGTTCACGCGCGCGCTGAAATCAAGGGCGATGTCTATTGATTAAAAGAAAATTAAGCCAGGAGTTAATGGAATTTGGACGTGGCAATTTTTTTTTTGATATTCGCCGTAGGGAGATTTCTGCATCCAGGATAAAAAAAAACATCCCTTCAGCACAGAAGTCAAACGGTGGGGGGGGAGGGGGGTATAATTACGAGCTTAAGAATGGTAAAATCATCTCACTGAGTCCACTCGAGGAAGGAGTCAGACTGCGTTAATTGTTGAACACCCCGGCGCATATTTAAAACAGCTGACTGCAAACCCTCACGCTTCTTGATATAAGTCAGAAATAAAATCCCCCCCTCCTCCTCTCACATAAAAAACTACACGGCCTTCATGACAATGTCGTGATGATAACAATTACGAGTTGTAAAATGATCGAAGCGTTATTCTCCCAGCACCTGGACATAATTGGGTTGCGGCTTCCAGGAAATAACACGTTACAAACGTCCGGTTATATTTTTTTTGTTCGAAGACACGACGAGTTGCCCCTAACCGAGGGAATCCGCTTTGTCTACAACGTCCTATCGTTGCCGATTATTGCGATTTTTAAATCCTTTATATTAAGTTCACTTGCTTGCTTGCGCGCTTACGACCGTGCAAATCTTTCGGTCGTTTTTTAACCCACTTCCCGTGATCCAATCGAGCTGACATTTTGCACACAGACTCGTTGTGCGTGACAATTTATTTTCCTGAAATTTTTTTTTCCATAACTTTACACTTTTTAGGGGATTTTTTTTTATATTTAATTACCAATTGCTTAATGGTGGCAGGCAATCATCTGACCCATAGGTGGCAGCCATCTCAAGCCAGAGGACGAGAGGACTCTAGCCGCCACGCATATAAAGGATTTATAGTGACAAACTTTGTTTTTACGGGTTAATTTTTACGATGTTCACCATCAACTCTTTGCAGCCTTTCAAAAACAGACCGACAATGGAGATCGCATCGGGGATGAGGGCTCGGTGGGGGGGGGTAGGGGAAAGAAATAAAAGCCCCCCACCCCCCAATCATTTAAAATGCAGTCATTCTCTGTGCACGGGGGCTGTCCCGAGACATCTTTAATGGCCCACGAGCAATAATTAGAAATCGCTTACAGCAGCCATTGTGTACTCTGTACAGTTCCTCCTCGCTTTACATTCAGAGCGTAGTTGTGCTGTGGTGAAAAAAGAAAAGTCTCCACGCTTCATTCGGGTTGTCAGAGCTCGTAGCGCCGAGTAAAATGCGAAAACGCCACGTTTTCAAATCTCCAAACTTGCAGCCACCACCGGCGTGTGGGTGGGTGTGGGTGGGTGGAGGGGAAAGAGGCTTCACACACAACGAGCGCTGACAAAATCTCGTTTGATGGCGCTTCACTTTAAATCGGGGGTGGTGGGGGGGGAGTGGTGGGAGGAGAGTTGTGGGGGGCGGTGGGGAAGGAGTGGTGGGGGGGAGTGGGGGGGAGTGGTGGGGGGGAGTGGTGTGGGGGGCGAGTGGTGGGGGGTAGTAGCGGTGGGTGGGGGAGTGGTGGGTGGGGGAGTGGTGGGGGAGAGTGGTGTGGGGGGGAGGTGGGGGGGGTGGTGTGGGGGGAGTGACCCCACCACTAGTGGTGGAGGGGGAGTGGTGGGGGGGAGTGGTGTGGGGGGGGGAGTGGTGGGGGTGTGGTGGGTGGGGAAGTGGTGGTGGGTGGGGTAGTGGTGGGGGGGTAGTGGTGGGGGGGGTAGTGGGGGGGGGAGTGGTGGGGGGGTAGTGGTGGGGGGTAGTGATGGGGGGGGGTAGTGATGGTGGGTGGGGTAGTGGTGGGGGGGCAGTGGTGGGTGGGGGAGAGGTGGTGGATGGGGTAGTGATGGGGGGGTAGTGGTGGTAGGGAGGTAGTGGTGGTGGGGTAGTGGGGGGGGGTAGTGGTGGTGGGGTAGTGATGGGGGGGTAGTGGTGGTGGGGAGGTAGTGGTGGTGGGGTAGTGATGGGGGGGTAGTGATGGGGGGGGTAGTGGTGGGGGGGGGGTGTGATGGGGGGGTAGTGGTGGGGGGGGTAGTGGTGGTGGGGTAGTGATGGGGGGGTAGTGGTGGTGGGGAGGTAGTGGTGGGGGGGTAGTGGTGGGGGGGTAGTGATGGGGGGGTAATGATGGGGGGGGGGGGTAGTGGTGGGGGGGGGGTGATGGGGGGGTAGTGGTGGGGGGGGTAGTGGTGGTGGGGGGGTAGTGATGGGGGGTAGTGATGGGGAGGTAGTGGTGGTGGGGGGGTAGTGATGGTGGGTGGGGTAGTGGTGGGGGGGCAGTGGTGGATGGGGTAGTGATGGGGGGTAGTGATGGGGGGGTAGTGGTGGTGGGGGGGTAGTGGTGGTGGGGTAGTGGTGGGGGGTAGTGGTGGGGGGGTAGTGGTGGGGGGGGGTGATAGGGGGTAGTGGTGGGGGGGGGGGCTCCCACGTGGCTGCGAATGACCGCGCCGTCGCTGCGCCTCGTCAGCTGTGAAAGCGGCGGCTCACCCCGCCCGCTCAAGTTTCTTCTCTTCGGGCGGAACCCCGAAGAGAAGAAACCGACAACGACGGCGCTTTTCTCGGGAGGGCAAAGAGCCGCGTTCTGTCAGATCGCCGCGTGACGACGCACGCGCACGCACGCACGCGCTGGCGAGCGAGCGCGCGCGTGCGCGTGAACGTTGCTGCAGCAATGCACCCTTTTACGTTTCCGCTGCTCGGTGTCACCACGTCGATTCTAACCTTTATTTGGGGGGCTGAACTGTGTAGAAGACACGCGACATCTATGTTTCTGCGTGTGCGTGCGTGCGCGCGTCCTTGACCGCACGCTGTAGTTCATGAACGCACAGCAGCAGAGCACAGGGCACCTGTAACCACCTTTCAAGAGCACGGTGGGTTAGTCCCACACCGAGAGAAGACTACCATTCCTTGACCGCCGTGAACCAAATAGGAACGCAGGCGTAACACCCACATCCCTGTGTGCTTGGATCTCAATCGTAATAATAATAAAATCATCTTCAGCCTTCTGTCATTGCATTGCTGGATTGAAGACGTACCCTACCCGTACCCGGCCGGGTACGGGTAGGGTACGGGTACGGCTGGGTACCCGTTTGCGACCCTGGTGCGGCCCGGTACGGAATCAAAACCCGTTTGCGACCTCTGCTGCAAACGGTGAGGAATTCCTCTGCTATGCCCCCCCCCACCACCCCGCCTTCCTCTGATAAAAATGGCCATGGGCCACAAATGTCCGTTGAGAAAGCGAGTGGATTGGTTGAGAAAACTATAGCGCCGGTCCAGGACGTTTTTTTAATTCGCGTAGGTGCGAGACGACGGGCGGAGTCATCTTCTTGGTTCTTTCGGTAAAGTCACGTAGAAGGGAAATAATGAAATAATAAAAATTAAACATAAAAAAATTAATCTCACGGCGTTTTCGGCCACAACGCAAGCAGCCGTCCTCAGGTGAAGACCAGGTCTGTCGGGGGCCTGTTCTTCACCTGGACGGCTGCTTGCGTTGTGGCCGAAACGTGATGATAATTATTTTATTGTTTTATTTTTATTATTTTATTATTTCCCTTCTACGTGACTTTACCGAAAGAACCAAGAAGATGAATCCCTGCAGTCACGAAAGCTTTAAATCGAGACGGGCGGAGTGTCTGGCTGGGTGGGGGGGGGGGGCCTGCCTGGCGCTTTGGTGCCGGCTGGAAGTCACCACCATGCCACTCACAATTGCCGCATTTTTTTTTGTTTTTCTACAGCGACGAATAAAAATGGGTGATTTCTCCAAATTTACGACACAGAATGTGTGGCTGGCGATTAAGGAAAGATCTAAGGACAGATGGGGCAACCACCGTGTCTAGCGTGGGTTCGATCCCGATCCGAACACAATACATTTCCACGTGATAAGCCACTTCGTTGAGCTATCATTTGTGGCCAGGTCGTTTCTGAAAAACAGCTATATTGTTTAGTGGCCTGTATATGATAATTATTTTAAACAATAAGAAATTAGATCACCACTGAATGCTTTCCCTGCTGCCTAATCAAGCACATCCAATAGAATATATAGAGCAGCATCAGGGTGACGTCATCATTAACTCATCAGGTGCAACGATTTGAGGGGGGGGGGGGGTTATTCATTTATAAATAACGCGATCTAAACCCAAAAACGTTGATTATGAATAATATTGGTCGCGAAAGCCTACGTGTTAAACAGAATATTTTTTGAAATTCCATTTAAACCACTCATGCCGCCACTCCTCGGCACTCTTCTCGAGCCTCAGCCGTCAAGGTCCCCGATGAAGTGGTTCACCTACAGTCCTCACAACCCCCCCTGCCCCCCACCGTTCTCTCTGTTCCACGTCAGCCAGAGGTCTCCGTTTGAGCACGAGGGTCACCGGCGATGTTTGACGGACAACGCGTTAATTCGTCGATGGCTTTGTATGTAAAATTGCACGGAAGGAAAAAAGCCGAAACTTGCAGCCAGGTCACGAGAAATGAGGTTAAAAATGCCTTCTTTGAGCGTCGAGAGAAAAGGATCGGTAATTGCCAAGCGGTGTGCGAGCTCTCGCCATGAATTGAGGCGCATTCCATCCGTGCACCCTAAAGTGGCCGATGAACAAGCACAGTGTTGCCTCGTGACCCCTGCTGAGATCGTTCAACTGCGTTCGGGGTGGGGGAGGAAGTGACTGTCAAGAAGAAGCCGTCGCCTCAAGGGTGGCAGCTCAACGTAAGAGAGGGGGGGGGGGGGGGTCAGTCGCAGCACGGAGCAAGAGGTATTGAACAAAAAATCCAAACAGTCCTAAATGTCAAGCTCATCCTGAATGCCATCATCTCTAAGACACTAATCACAAGTATTTGAGTCGAGGGTTATTGCATTGATAACGTAAGTAAAACAAGCAGTGTCGGTGTTTACATGCGATAGTCTTCTTAAAGCCTGTGTCACCGTCTCCTTGGTGACTATTTCACCCCGATTTAAGCACCAAAAAAAATTTTCAACGAGAGAAAAAAAATCCACGCCAAACATTTGATCAGAAATGTAATTTATACAGCTCGTTTTTACTTTTGTTTTCCCGACAGCATTTTGGTGATATAATGCATTATATATTTACAGTACGTCCTAAGCAGGTGCTGACAGGTTGGTTAAAAAAAAAACGGTACCACTGAACATAAAAGTAAAACAACAAAAAATTATATTTAACTGTGAACGTAACGGCAGGTGGGAATAAAAATACGCTTCTGCTTATCGTGAATCGGTGTCACAAAAAGAACTCGGATCAACGCATGCACAATCGCAACCGGTAACAACGGCTTCAAATCAACCACGGCACTAATTAAACCATTGACGTTAAGGACTTATAATTAACTCGTCAATACCGCACACTCAAAAAAGCAAAGCAGTGAAAATATTACCTTGATTTTACACATCTTCCCAGAGCCAGATGCTTATTGTTGTCTTTTCATCTCCCATCCGCTGCCTCGTTAAAGCGGTGAAAGCCGGACGCGTTTGCGCACCCCCGCTCGTCCCCTTGTGCGGGCGTCTTTTATATAATTGACGTGCGCACGTCTGTGCGTTAGCGTGATCTCTGAGGTAGATAGAAGTTCCAGTGGCTCAGTGTCGCTTCGAGAGACGATGGGGGGGGGGGGCGGGGGGACAGTCCTCGTGGATCTTCGGCGAAGTTGGCTGGGAGAGGGCACGGAGAGGGAGCAGGGGACGGAGGTTGTCGTGGATCTGATGGAGGGGGGGCGGTAGGCGGGGGCGGGGGTTGCTGGAAAAGCTACCCGCGTGGGTTTGTAAGACACTTTCATGCAACGCTGCCCATGAAAGTTTCAATGCTTGGCAAGATGCTGAATGTCTACTTTTCCAGCAAGTAAGAAGTTTTGCATTTCGGAAAAAAATGTTACGTAAAAAAAATAACGCGGGAATTTCCCAAGGAGGTTTTGGTGCGGAAAAGTTATTTTTTACTTGGGCGAGAAGATATCCCTCTCGTCGGTTGGGCATTAACTTGTATATTTTAAACAAAATTGTGAGACCGGTGGTGTGGGACCTACGTTTGGCTCTAACCCCCGAGGCTGCACCAAGCGCCACGACTCCTGGACGCGTCCATCAAAGGACCATCTCGACGGCAATCCATTTTGTCTACGTTGGCGCAGCGTAGTGCCGTGCCAGGGTGTTCTGAGACCCGGCGTGGCCACGGCGGGGCAGCGCTCAGTCGGGACTGTCGGGATCACACCAACGCTCGTCCGCTCCGTCAGATGTACAATTTACGCGACTGCGGCTGGCGATGTCGGCGTGGGGAGTTGTCGGGGAGGAAACAAACTTCCCTTCATTTCAAAAGCACGACAGCGTTCGTCACCGGTCTCTCGCTCCGTCCATCCGCCGCGAACATTCCCCGCCCACTCCGCGCAGCCGCAGCGCTCGCTCGCCCGCCCGCTTCACTCGGTCATCTGCCAGAGGCCCAGGTTGAGGACCTTGAGGCAGGGCAGCTGCGTGATGCGCTCCAGGCCTCGCGTGGTGATCTTGGTGCAGCCGTACAGATCGATGCCCGTGAGTTGGGTGAGGTGGCGCCCGATGAGCTCGAGGCCGCGGTCCGTGATGCCGGGGCACTGCCCGATGCTGAGCGTGCGCAGGCGGCGCATCGGCCGCGCCAGCCTCTCCACGCCGGCGTCGGACACGCGGCACGCGCACAGCGACAGCCACGCGAGCTGCGCGAGGCCCTGCGCGATGTGCGCCAGGCTCGCGTCGCCCACCTTGTCGCAGAAGGACAGGTCGAGCGTCGTGAGCCGCGGCGTGCCCGTCGACAGGTGCATGACGCCGGCGTCGCTGATGCTGTCGCACGAGCGCAGGTTGAGGGTGCGCAGGCCGCTCATGTGCGACAGGTGCACCATGCCCGCGTCCGTCACGCCGCCACAGAAGCTGAGGTTCAGCGTCTGCAGGGCGGGGAATCCCTTGGAGATGTACTTGAGCGCCGCGTCAGTCAGCCGCTGGCAGTCCTGCGCCGCCCGGGAGAGGAAGGGGTTGGGATTTCAAACGGCGGCGTTTCGGGAATGGGCGGTAACGCCATCGTTGCAGTCGTCACCGCACGGTATTTTGGGTAAAACGGTGCAATGGCAACCGATGCATACGGAATGCAAGATGAATGTTGTAAAACGTTAATACAATTTTTCGGATTGTAGCTCGCTTAACGCGTTAAAAAAAGCCAACTGTCCGAATTACAATGTGAATCGATAATATAAAGAAGCGGTAAAAAAAAAACAAGTTTTAAATCCATACATAAATCATTAAATTATGAGCTGATAAGTCGCAATAACACTTCAGCCATCAACAACAACAGCAGCAATCTCTTGCCTCCAGGGATGCATGCAAGCTCAGACCCAGACTCTTAACACATTCACACTCCAGGCCCCCTTTGCTCCGACACACGCTCAAAACACACAGCTGGGCCACCGCCACCACCGCCACCGCCACCACCACCGCCACCACCGCCGCCACCACCACCACCACCGACCCGTACCTGCAGGGTGAGATGGTCCAGACTGGGGCAGCCCTGCGCCGCGTTCCGCGTCAGTCCGGCGAGGTGTCCGATGCCCGTGTCCGAGACGTTGCGGCAGCTGCGCAGGTTGAGGCTACGCAGGCCGGGCAGCCCCCAGGCGAGCAGCAGCAGCCCCGTGTTGCTCACGTTGCCGCAGCCGCCCAGCTCGAGCGTGCGCAGGCTCTTGAGGTGCTGGGCGATGCGCCCGAGGCTGCTGTCCGTGATCTGCTTGCACAGGCTGAGGTTGAGCGCCGTGAGGTTGGGCAGGGGCTGCACGAGCGCGTGCGCCAGACCCAGGTCCGTGAGGTTGTAGCAGCCGCTCAGGTTGAGGCTCTCGAGCCCGGGCAGACCCTGGATGACGGAGCTGAGGCTCCGGCGCAGGCTGAGGATCTGCAGCTTCCGGATGCCGCGCGCCTGGAGGCTGGGGAAGAGCGACGGGTTGGAGCGGCGGAGGTGCAGCTTGGCCTCGACTCCGCGCCACACCGACTTGTGGTACGCCGCGTCCCTCCAGGCGCGGCACACCTGCGCCGCCCGCCCTTTGTCTCGCACCTCGAGGCAGCTGAAGATGATGGTCAGAAGCTCGGGGAAGAGACAGGAAATGTGCGTCTCCATGGTCGGTGAGGAGGAGGAGGAAGGGGGGGGGAGGAGCGCTGCTGCTGCTGCTGCGGCGCTCCGTCGGCTGCCAGCGAGCCGGATGAGGCAGCGTGCGCGGAGAGGCTCAGCTGCGCGCTCTCCAGCTCACGTGGTTGGAGGCGGGGGGGTGGGGCGCCGGGACCTGGCGGAGCGTGAAAAGGGAAAGGCGGCGTCGGATTTCTGCCCTGGTGCTGTCACCCAGACAGACAGGCGAACAGCCCAGCCGTCTGACTGGAATAACAAGTCGCACTGCGGCCCGAGCTCTTTTCAGCGCGAGCAGCCAAAAAGGCACCAAAGCGCTCGACGATCGGTGGTGGGAAGGAGGGGGGGGGAAGGAGGGGGGGGAAGGTGAGTTTGAGTGTGGCACATACATGTCACAGGCCGTTTAAAAACCCATGCAGAACGATTCTGCAATACCCTTTTTACATCTACAAAGAATTCCTTTCCAACAGCCGGGGACTCCAGAACAATCCGCTGGCTCAAAAGAAGTTTTATCCTGCCAGAATGAATGAATAAAAAAAAATCCGCACGGAACAAGGGAGAGGGAGAAAGAAAAAAAAAATGTCTACGAGGAAACGTGGCCGCGTAGAGCTGCAAAACACGAACGGTGTTCAGCAAGCTACGAAACGTGAAAATGCGCTCCAAGGAGCGAGCGAGCGAGCGAGCTCCCGCAAGCGCTGGACCACAGCGGCGGATCGCAATTTTGTTGTTTAGCGGCGCTTTTTTGTCGTTGCATCCATTCCGAGAGCGTTATTCGTTTCCAATCGGTTTTACGAATGACACGGAACGCGCATACGGATTTCGCGCGTGCGCACGTAGAAAAAGCACGCAAGCGCGCGCGCGAATGGTATGTATGTATAATATATGGCGTTGTATTCCACTGAAGCAACGGATGGTAAGATACTAATTTTGTTGAATCACATCACGATTTAATATTTAATACGGTGTGACACAGACATGGCCAAAGGAACGTATTTTTTTTGTTCTTTCATTTCTTTTTTTCTCAAGTGATTGACTCAAGTTGTATCGAGTCTCCCAATGAAAGGCAATGCACAAATTGGCCTCTTTACTCTGCATTCACAAGGGTAGAGAGATTCAAACTTGTTGGCTTGGGGCTTCGCAAGAGATAGACCCATAGGGAAATCAAGAAATATTTCGCATGATAGGCCGTAATTAGTGCCAGCAGAGATTTCTATTCCTTTTGGCCCCATCGAAGCATGTCCAAGTAGGATTCTCCGTAATGAAACTAGAATATGTGACGTGTCCCATAAGCTTTGTGACATCACAGAGGAAGCTTTTGAAATTGAAATATGGCACTTTGGTGTCTTTCCAAACACACAAAAGAGCCCGTTTTGCTCTCCATTCATCTACATTTGTACGTCTGCTGACCATTTAATCTGCTGAAATATCAGAGGCAAAAAAAAAATAGGACAATGGAGGATTTTTTTCCCCCTTTTAGCTAACTTCACCGCAGGCCTCGAACAATTTAACATTTGGCAATTGGAGGCAGCAATAATGGTTCCGACATATTTTTAATGAGAGCCGTAAAAGCCAACCCCCCCCCCCCCCAAATAAAACTGCAAACGCACGCAAGGTGTTTGATTTGGAAGTTGTGGGTTAAATGGTATATGCTGTAATGTTGGGCCCTTATTAAAGCCATTTGATATTTGGTATGCCTTAAGGGTGTGTGCTATTTTCCTCCTGCTTAGTGTAAAATATTGGCATTTTTTTCTGCCTTCTAAAAAGTTTATGCTTGCATTTTTTATGGATCCTCCAGGGTGAGTGCATTGCTTATTAGCATTTATAAGATGTTAAGTGTGGCTGCCTCAGCACTTGTAATACTTAATAAGTCAAATGTCGAATAAGCAGCGTTGAAATAGCGGAATCTGACAAAGCCTGCATTCGTTTGTCAACGAACCTTCTCAGCGAATGCGCTGCAATATTTCAGGTACATCTGGCAGAATCCGATTTAATCGTAACCACCGTCATATTGAACTGCTCTATTACAGCACAGAAAGATTTGGCAAAAAAACTATTTACAGAAATACGAAGCACGAATGCAGGGAACATATTGCCTAACCTTCCAAGAACATTTTATTTTATTTTAATGAGAACAATATTAATATAGCACAGATCAACATTCGACAACTCTACAGTAGCCAGTCAGCTTCAGCCCGTGTGGTTATTTTACGAAGAATGTCACAAATCATTTCAAACAACGAGACCCCATTCAAGTATCCGCGTTTCGGCAGCGCTGGCCTTTTGCGGTAATCACAATGCTGGCTTTGCCACAAAAGCAACGCGCCGTGCACTCGCTATGACAGAAGCAGACTCGGGGGATGCATCCCAAGTCCTCACGGACCTCGTTCCGTGTTGAACTCGGGAAGGGAAGAGAAGCACATCGATATCTGGGGGTGGGGAGCATTTCCAGACTATGGCCGTACATAGTAAGTGCTTTTTGCCGGACAATGTCTTGTATATCAAGCAGAACAGGATACCCCAGCCTGCAACGCAGCCAAAAACTAAGGCATGTGGATCCTTGCAAACCAGGGACATGAGAGGAAAACTCCAGCACACGCGAAGGCTTGTACACACGGATTACATTTAATGGCAAATACCTTTGCCAGATATCGCCAACACAGCCCTTCTGATGGTCCATTAGGGCCTGCCAACTGAACGCAGCTCACCTGGCTTAAGCGAGACCCAGAGGGCCAGGTGCACTGAATTTAGGCCGAGCAAATTCAGAAAAGGAGGGGGGGGGGGGCGACTGGTGGGGGTTGGGTGCTTTTGGAAGGTTCTGGAGCAAGGGGCTTGGGCAGCATATTCAAGTCTTCTCTCCCTCCAAGCTCATCCTTTATAATAAATGTTTTTTTTTAATATAATAATTTTCAACCAATTTCGGCTCGATTGCTCTATCGGTACCATGTCATGATATGAAGTATCAACGGAAAGCTCTCGCAGAGCATTGCAATCCCCTCTGTTAGAAAACAGCCCACGGAGGCAGTCGCCACAGAGCGACTACCTACGAGACCTGTTCAAGTCAGGTCTTGGCCACGCTGTAGACCGCAACATTTTCCCACCCTGTCGCCAGGAATAATGCTCGTCATATGCCAATACGACTGATATTTTAATCATCAGAGTTGGAATGTAGCCAAATTAAGTGCAAAACCATATTTAATGCGATGGGGGGAGAGGGGGAAGAGTTGGTTGTTTTTTTAGTCACTGCCAACTGGTATAGAGACCACAAATTCAATTGAGAACCCCGGTTAAAACACAGGCAGCTGCGTGGATTCGAACCCCGGATTTCAGCGGTGGCGGTAGCTCAGCCCGCTGACCTCTGACCCACGCGGCCACCTCCATCCAATCTCATTTCTTAATCACGGAAGATGCAGATGGGGGGGGTGGGTGGAGCAGCGAGGAGGAGGAGGAGGTAGTAGCCACTGTTCTTGGCACTACCTTGAAAAATATCGCCAACTGGAAGGGGAAAACGTGCTCTTTTGCCACGGTGAGCTCAGTGGTCCCTCGATCCCAGTCAGGCCGACGGGAGGCATTGGCAATGCCGGGGGACGAGAGGTTTGTGCAGCTGCGTGTGTGTGCGCATTGCCCGTCGGTGCCCCCCACCATCTGCTCCGCTGTGAGCCCCCTCCGCCGAAGCGAGAGCAGATGGGACCCACTCGCCCGCCCTCCCGCCCGCCCCAGTACGAGGCCTACAGGGTCGTGCTCGCTGTGCCCTGTAGTCATTTACACTTTTTTTGTGCAATTCCCCATTATCATAATTACCATATTCAGCCGAATGCTAATATTGCATAGAGGGGGGAAAAAAAAGAATCCTCTTGTTCCGTGCCATTGCTGTGGGCTGAAATACACAGCACATTCAGCAACAAATGCAGTTTTAAAAATGTTAAAGACAATGAAGCTAAGAATTGCGCGTGGAGGAATATTTTATATTTTGCACGCACGAGGGGCTTATATTTTGCATGCATTGAATCGCTCGTTTCACATTATTCAATTGCTTCTAAAAAAAAAGTTAACAATCTCGGTTACTTTCACGCACAGTTAATGAAAATTTCTGCAACGAAAAAAAGCAATTTCACTTCCCATTAAAATGATCATCTGGCAAGCGGTAATTAAAACAAATAAATGGACCGTTAATAAATCGGAATACATGTCTCGGCTTTCGCGATGGACGGTCGTGAATTAATTAACCGTCGTGAACTCGTTGAACGCCACTCGGAGAGACAGAAATCTGGGAAGTATATTCCTTCATGCGTGCACACGATGCGAAACATCGCGTTCAATATTCGCACACGCACACAGAACTGTCATGGGCGGAGAGTTACAACCCATTGCTCTCTTGCAGATAACGTTTTAAATGGATGAGTAATTGACACACACACACACGAGTGTTGCACGACACATACACACACGTCAGTAATTTGTGACTATTTTCTGCTGCTGTAGATTCCCACGCCTCGCCACTCAACCCCACGGAAACATTTCGTTTGTTTTATTGTTTGGACGCTGTCAACTCTGAGCCACAACTGTTTTTTTTTTGTTAAATCCAAACCAAGATACAGTAATCATAAAAAAAAAACCCCAACCCCAACAATCCTCGCTGCTCGGATGCCACTTGAAAACTGCCGAGTAGTTTCCATCGGACACCTTCATTGAGTCGTAAAAAACCCACAACCCAGGAGATGAACCGTTCAGCCGTCCCAGGCCCGTTCCCCAGCGGCAGCAACAGTGGCAACAACACAACAACACAACAGTGGCAACAACAACACAACTGTGGCAACAACACAACAACAGTGGCAACAACACAATTGGCAACAACAACACAAGTGTCAACAAACACAACAGTGGCAACAACACAACAACAGTGGCAACAACACAACAACAGTGGCAACAACACAATTGGCAACAACAACACAACAGTGGCAACAACACAACAACAGTGGCAACAACACAATTGGCAACAACAACACAACAGTGTCAACAACACAAGAACACGCCAGTGGCAACAACACAACAACACAACAATAGTGGCAACAACACAATTGGCAACAACAGCACAACAACAGTGGCAACAACAGCACAACAGCCACAACAACAGCACAACAGACAGCACAACAACACAACAGACAGGAACAACGCAAAGTCGGGCCACAGCAGCTTTAAAGCGACTTGGCAATGCTCCGTAACAATCGCACATGGACCCAGTGCGCTGCTGTCATTCCCACAGCAACGTGAGCATGTCCGGCTCGGCGGTGTATGGGGAGGGAACGGGATGGATGTTGCTGGACATGAGAGATGGATTTCAGGCACCATAGCAGGCAGAGGAGGGTGGTGGTGGTGGTGGTGGTGGGCACATTCGTTATTTCGTGTAACATACAATATATGTGTGCGTGTGTGTGTCCCAGTTATACGCGTGTGTATTTCGTTCTGTTGTGGCTGACAGCTCTCGCCGAGACGGTGGGAGGAGACACGATCGAGAGGTGACCCTCCCCTCCATCTCTCTCTCTCTCTCCCCTCTCTCCTTCATCGGCGTGTGCCACGCTCCCTCACCTGCATGCCGAGAGGGTCCACGGGTTCGCTCTGGCTCAGCCTGCCACGCCACGCCACGCTCGCTCCCGTTGCCACCCTTGCCACAACCGAGGCTCTCTGTGCCAGGGTACGTCTCGGCTCCGGTCCCCGGGTCTCGGAGACACAGAGATGTGGTGGTGGTGGTGGGGGGCTGCTGGGGCAGGCTGGGAGAGCAGAGGGAGGCGTGGCCAATGGGGAGGAGGAGGAGGATGGAGACAGAGGAACGGGGTGGGAACAAAGCAATGGCTAAGGGGGTGGTGGTGGGGGGGTGGAGCCAGCTGGAGCCGGTGGCTTGGGACACGGGGTGAAGTCGGGGGAAGAGACGGGGGTGCAGGGGGGGGGTGCGTCCAAGGGGACCGTGGGATGGACGGGATGGGGGGGGGGGGTTCAAGCGCCACGGGAATGGAAACGGGGAGAAGCAAGTTGAGCCGGGCAGGAGGGGGTGCTGATTGGACGGGGAAGTCGGGGACGAAACCCAATGTGTGTGGGGGGGTTGAGAGAGCAGTGAAGCCGGGAGAGGAGGGATAATGGGAATCTGGGAGTGATAGGGAGGGGAGGGGTGGGGGCAGGATTATTGGGAATTAAGGAGGGGCTAGAAGTGAGGCAGGGAGGAGGGTTGGAACGTGGTGTGGAGCGACGAGAAGGGGGTGGGACACGGCTGCTACTGCTGCTGCTGCTTGTGGTGGTGGTGACTGTGGGAGGAGGAGAAGGATGATGGGTGGGGGTGGTGGTGGGGGTGGCGGGGAGATGCTCTACTCCTCTGACGCGCGTGCGCACAGCCCGACTCATTGTGCGTGTGGGGCCACGTGGGGAGTGGGAAGGGGGTGGTGGTTTTGGGGCCGCGGACGCGAGAGACGAAGAGCGGTCGCGACCTCAAAGGGCCGTCGTGCGATGCGTCGGGGTGGGGGGGAGAGAAAGCGAAGTTTGTGTGTGGAGCGCACGAAGTCGGCCGGCCTCATTTGCCAGCCCTACCCTAAGGCTCCCACCAGCTGCCCAACACATCCACCCAGACTTGGCGAATGACTGACCCAACAACCATGCCCTTCACCTACTTACTGTTGTTGGTTCGCATTGCATCGGGCCTCAACGTTGTTAAATGAGCACGTAGGCTTTCGCGACCAATATCCATCATTTAGGGGGGGGGGGGGTTAGAAATTTAAATGTGTCGTTAAACCCGCCACCACCTGACACAGCCAATTTAGCAAGGGTTGTTTCCTTTTCATTATTGATGTTCACAATACCGCTCTCCCGTGAAGCGTTTTTCTTTTGCCAGTGTTCTCACGCGTGTAAATACGTCGCTTGTGGAGATGCCAGAATAAAATGTGATTTGAATCGGAAAACGTCATGCAGGGCGCACGTTTAAATATGTATGCTTTGAAATAAATACAAATATTACTAGCGGTGGGGAAGTCATACATGATGATAATATTTTGTGTCATTCATTGAGGTTGTTGGACCATATTTCAAGCGAGTCCGAGTGCGTGGATTGTTGTGTCTTGGACCGTTTCAGGTACCGCTTGCCACTGATGTTAGCTGTGGCCAGGAATCAAATTCATGTTGATGGGTTCGTAGCGCAGTGCGCTTACCACTGCCCACTGCTCTGCCCATAATAACATGTTGCATTTATATGCCGTGACATAAAATGTAAGCGTTACGTGTTAGCATACAAGATATAGACGTATTTTAAAAAAATCATATTTATAAAACTAAGACTTTGCTCTTCTGTATGGTTTATATCGTGCAGGTTTGAGTTTTACGTAAAAATCCACGTCGGCTAGAAACATTCACAGTGTGTCCATTTGTCCCATTTACCATCTACAATGCCCAATCTGAAAATGCATTTTTAAAAATCCAGATGCATAGAGGAAGCATTCTTTTTTTAAATGCTGAAAAAATAAATACCGTGACCATTTGTTAGAAGACATCCGTGAAATGTCATTGGAAATATTAATGGGAAATATCAATGTGAGCTGACAAATATGTGTTTTATATATACACACAGCGGATAATGATTCATGAACAATACATTGCACCAAAGAGTGATGGTCGTACACAGAATGCCAATTGATTTTAATATGGACAGTTAAAATAATTATATATTACAAATTATTTTCAGTCCCTTTATCAATTTAGTGTTTTGATTCAGGCCTTCCGATGCCATTTAGGTCATGGAGGTTTTGACCATACCTCGCCAATCTGGCCACTGCAGGTTTGGTGAAAACAATGGGTGGCCCAGGACTGGCAGCCCTGACATCACTCATCGCCAAATGTTATAGCCTTGGCTCGGAATCGCGCTCAGGTCGCCGGGTTCGGATTGTGCAGCACGTTTTCCAATGCGCCAGCAGACATTTCAAAAATAGAACAAAACATTACAAATATCGCCACTGCGCACGTCAATGCAGCTCCTGGAAAATTGCTCAGACATTAAGCATGTATACATGATAATGCATAATCGAGGCAATTGCAAAACGGTAGCCTGAAACAACAACAACAACAACTATATACTCCCCCCCCCCCCCCGCATAATTGTTTCATTGATTTCATAAATTTACCACTATCAGCTCCTCCAACTCTCTCAGGGCCCCAGAGACCAAATCCAGCATCACCACCACCACGTTCATTCTTTCGCTTCTTTGTCAAGGACTCTGTCAAGGTCACCACAACACACTCGCCGTGTTTTCATATCTGTGCCAGGAGAGGTATTCCCAGATGTGCTCGTCTTCCCTGGTTACTAGTTCTTCTAGCTGGCAGAGCAAGAGGTCCTCAGTTTGATATATTTGAAAAATACGGCACTATCCATACGATATGCAGTTAATTTCTTGTCATGATTACCAGTATTTAAACGTAACTGTAGTGCTCATTATAATAATTGTACCGTGCCATATTTTTTAAAGCAAATTAAACGTTTTTCGTTGTAAAATTCAAAACATTAAATTCACAAATATCTCAATTCGGCAATGTATTTAGATTACACAGAACACACGTTGAACATACTTCAAATAGCACAATTTATATTATTGCGGCTGCATTACAATTATTATTGCAGTCACATAATTGCCGTTCATTGCAGTGGTGTGCAAGCTATTACGGATGGAACACAACGATAAAAGTCTGCACTTTTACTCAGCGGGGACTTGCATTCAACCAAACACCTTCCCCTGATTTGCATCACAATTTTCCCTTCGCATGGCGGTCCCCCTGTTTCAGGTCACTTGCGTAGCGCTTAATTAAATCACCGGGTATCATTAGCAGGGCTGCATATATTTGCATGCATAATCACGGAATGGATTTGTCAAGGCCTCCACAGGTCAGTCGTTATTCTCTCCGCACCTCGCTTTTTGTGATGATGTGTGCATTGTGTGGGGTGGGCGTGCGTGTGTGCGTGTGTGTGTATGTGTGTGTGTATGTGTGTGTGTATGTGTGTGTGTATGTGTGTGTGTATGTGTGTGTGTATGTGTGTGTGTATTTGCGTATGTGGGGAGCGGTAGTGTAGCGGTTAGCGCGCTGCGCTACGAAACAGGCGAACCCCAGTTCGATTCCCGCTCACGGCCAATCACCAGTGACGTTTATCTGAACCGATGCTGGGCCACCCCAAGGTCGACTCAGCATCAAATTAGTATTTGGTGCGGTGTGTAAACATCACCACTGGGGAGACAAAGGCGGTCGGCCGTGGTGCTGGCCACCTACCCCCCTCGTATGCCGTGTCGGCCTTCATAGATGCTCGCTAACAGCACTTGCCCCAACAGTCTGTTAAGGCTACACGGGGGAGATTTGTCTGTGTGCGCACGTGTGTGTGCACGTGTGTGTGCATGTGTGTGTTTTGAAATAATGTAATAAAATACAATAGGCCTTTCAGAGATGTTGATGGCTAACTCAAAGCAAAGCCAGTCTATTAACACCCACCTACACACAATACACTGTACAAACAATGCCTCGGTTGTGCATAGCGGGTGTAATTATCATCTGCGGGAGCGATTATGATTATTGTTATTTCACGGCATTTCGTAGTGGTTAAGCAAATTTAAAAATGCGGTGTTTTGTTATACCAAAAAAATGGTACGTGGGAAAAAAGAATGGGTGCATGTAGGGATTTGGCCTTTACATACTGATTCATAAAGGCAAGATGCTTTTCATAATGCGGGAAATGGCCAGTCCGTTAAACATTACAAGTATCACCAGAGCTTCGGGGGCAAATGTGATTGTAAACGAAATTGCAATTAATTCCAGTCGAAGAATTATTCCAGGTGCAGTGTGTAATGCGGCCGTTTTATTTTGACCAAATTGTAATTTATGGCAATGGTTTAAACTTTTCAAGTAATTGCAATTCCAATTAAGAATGTGTAATTGTGGTTGTGACCCTTTGTATTCACTGGTGCTGACCCAAATCCTAAATGTCGAGATTTTTTTTATTGTTACATAGATTTGTGCTTGCAGAATGCTCATGCAGCTGTTGTAAAACAGGCATTTTTTCTCTTTTTACTTGTCAGCTGAAAACATAATGGTATGAAAAAGGGCACACTTATATTTGAGTTAAGGCACAGTTTATACGATGTTTTTTTATCACAAGTCTATAGCATGGAGCAGCATTTAAACAGTGGGCGGACGTGGATAGCACTCGTACAATTGTTCGTCTGCTGGCATAAAAAAATAAAATTATATGTTGCTCGTTCACATTTGTCACGCTTACCAGTGATCTTCGGCTTCTTCGTGGGATATTTTCGAAAGTAAAATAGTCTTCCATTCAGTGGGCGAGCGGAACATGCGGAGTAGGGCTTTGCGTCTTTGTCACAACGACTGAGCCAGGGCCGATGAAAATCCTGGGTTTAAATCCCAGGATTTAAGATTAAACCAGATTATAAGCTGCAAAATGTTCATTGTCTCAGCATTGTTAACAATGACTGCACACACGTTTTTTTACCCACATTTCCCATTGTCAAAATTACTGATGAGGTTTGGACGAATGGGCATTGAGACGTTTAAGATATCATGAATATTTTTTTAAGAAGAGGGATCCAAATGTTGTCCAAACACATTGACGAGCAGATATTTGGGCGTTGGTATATCATCCAGATGGCACATTTGGATAAAAGTATATGCAGCGCTTAATATAATCCAGAAAAACCCAGAACCCTTTTTCATGAATTATTTTTTATTTCTAATTTTTTAATTATAATTTTATTTTAAACCTGTGCATAGGGTTATAGAATTATACCATGCAATAAAGTATGATTCTAATGGATATTAATACATGATTACCCTAGTGGTAGTGCCTTATGCTGAATAATCTCTTTTCCAAGCCAGCTTTGCAGCGTTCATGAATATACCGAGTAAGACATTAATCCCTGGGAATATTCTGTCCAAAATAAATTTTGAAAGATGTAAACATTTGCTTCCAAGATTTCAATGAGAAAAAAAACTAGAAGACCTCTTTTGCCGATGTGTTTGTGTCCGTGAATGTGTTGCTCAGAGGAGCGTTAGTGATAGTGGTCGTGAGGTCTGAGCACGGAAGGAAGGGGGTGGGGTGGGGGAGGCTTTGCTGTACCATTGTGGGCTTGAGAATAACACGATGTAACACAATTTTTGTTCCTGGGTAGTAAGTGTTATTTCGTAATTGCTCATGCCTAATAAGTATAGAAAATGGCGATTATTCCCCACAAACTATGATTTTGTGACCAGGACAGTGATATTTTGAAATTGACCTATTTTCAATAAGAAAACGGTTGAATTTGTGTCTTTTCGTTCACATAAAGTAAAAAAAAACATGAATCTAAATTAAAATGTATTTATACTAAAGTAATACATAAATGACTAAAACATATTTAAAAGTGAGTAGTTTTTCGAGATTTACGATTATACTGTAAATCACTTTCACGAATCAGCCCCCAAATGTAGTCTTCCATCATGTTCTCGTTATACTGTCCTTGGTAGCGGCGTTCAAAGTCCAGTATATCCTGGTGGAAGCGCTCGCCTTGCTTCTCCGAGTACGCTCCCATGTTCTCCTTGAATTTATCAAGATGAGCATCAAGGATATGGACTTTGAGGGACATCCTACAGCCCATTATGCCGTAGTTCTTCACCAGTCCCAACCAGCTCCACATAGTTTTCGACCTTGTGATTGCCCAGGAAGCCACGAACCACTGCGACAAAGCTGTTCCAAGCCGCTTTCTCCTTACTAGTGAGCTTCTTGGGGAATTCATTGCACTCCAGGATCTTCTTAATCTGTGGTTCGACGAAGACACCGGCTTTGACCTTTGCCTCAGACAGCTTAGGGAAGAAGTCTTGAAGGTATTTGAAGGCTGCCGACTCCTTATCTACAGCTCTGACAAATTGTTTAATAAGGCCCAATTTCATGTGCAGTGTTGGCATCAGCACCTTCCGGGGGTCCACCAGTGGCTCCCACTTGACGTTGTTCCTCCCCACAGAGAACTCGGTCCGCTGTGGCCAGTCCCGCCTGTGGTAGTGCGCCTTGGTGTCTAAATCTTTTTGTATGACTTTAGTATAAATACATGTTAATTTTGATTCATATGTTTTTTTTCTGACTTTATGTGAACGAAAAGACACAAATTCGCCCGTTTTCTCATTGAAAATATGTACATTTCAAAATATCACTCTCCTGGTCACAAAAACAAAGTTTGTGGGGAATAATTGCCATTTTCTGCACTTTTTAGGCATAAGCAATTAGAAAATAACACTTAGTACCAGGGACCAATTTTTGTTTGTTACACAGTGTAATAATGAACGGCCGATGAATGAATGGAACGCAAACTGTGCGGGCCATGTCCGTGTTCAGTCTGCGTATGCTTGGTGCCACCATGTGGGATCACGTGGTAATACAGGCAGCACACACCCCGTGGGAACTCCCGACATCCGCACAACGGCAGCAGCAGCAGCTGATCCGACAGCTGCGGGCCTCCAAGCAGTGGACTCAAAGAGTTTCGTTTCAGCGTGGGCACAACCTCCGCACCTTGCTATGTTCGGCTCTCAACTGCCAGTGCGAGTGCCTGCCAACCCCTGTTTGATGGCTGGGGAACCTATATGCCTATTCATATTCTTAGGTTTTTTTCGGTAAAGTCACGTAGGTAAAAGATAAAAATATCAATTAGTAAAATAAAATAAAAATCACGACGTTTCGGAGGCAACACAGGCTTCCGTCTTCAGGTGGAACCGTCACAGCACGCTTGCTGTATCAAGTAAATGAGGGCTTCAAATCTAGAACCTATATGCCTCCACAGACAATTTGGGCTCAAGACGATTGAGACGGAGAGCATAATAGATGCGGGAGCATAGAAGCACAGTGCAACAAGTATGTTGTGATGCGCTCACCGCCTCAAAGCACAGCTGGCGTAGCCGTCTATGGCAAGGCATCTTCCCTGCTTAGCTTTAGAGATCTTTTTTAGATGAGTTGCATTCTACATTATATGGTTCGAAGCTCAACTTTTTTTTCCTATATATATGTCTGTTGAAAATGAAGTTCTAGATTAAACTGTATCGCACTTAGTTGCTCAATATAATGGGTGATATATTTTGGATTTACTGAATTTTGCGTCTGTACGCCGCCTGGTTTGCTCTCTTTTTAAATCCTTTATATTAAGTTCACTTGCTTGCTTGCTTGCGCGCTTACGACCGTGCAAATCTTTCGGTCGTTTTTTAACCCACTTCCCGTGATCCAATCGAGCTGACATTTTGCACACAGACTCGTTGTGCATGACAATGTATTTTCGTGATTTTTTTTTTTACAAAATGTTACACTTTTTAGGGAATTTTTTTAAATATTTAATTACCAATTGCTTAATGGTGGCAGGCCATCATCTGACCCATAGGTGGCAGCCATCTCAAGCCAGAGGACGAGAGGACTCTAGCCGCCACGCATATAAAGGATTTTTTATCGCAGTTCTGTGTCATCTGATTGTGAGCAGAGTCTCCAGTAAAAAAAAATAGGACGTATAATCTCAGTGGGCACACACCTGGCTCTAAATAAAGTTGTATCTATGGCACACTTATTGGCAGTATCAAAATTGTGAAAAATATAAGAATAGGCTTTACCCTTCCTGGCAATAAAGCAAGCGTCAAGATGTCCAAACAACCGGATAGCATATTGCAAGGCATCACGTTTTGCACTTTGCTTTCGACAACAAACTAAACAAAAAAAAGAAAGAACCAAGAAAAAGAGAAAAAAGAAACTTATTTTCTGGGTCGCGTCTGACTTTTAAAGTAACAGCTTGAGCAACATGGGCAGTCCACACTCCTCGCAACGGGTAGGGGACCCTCAGCGATTCACATTGAGTGGCTTTTAGCGGCGGTGGGGGAGGTTGGGGGGGGTGTGGAGGCGTGGAATCACCCGAGTGGGCCCAGTGGCCGTCGCTGATGGCAGGAGCACCTGTGCCTGGCGCGCGCGCACGCGCTGGACAACCCTGGGCCCGCTCGGTAAACAAATGGCCACGGTTTATATTTAGATGGAGCAGATTGCACGCGGGACCAGGACGTGGAACCAACCAGCTGGGTTCAGAGGCCTAGGGGAACAAACCTGCGCAGCCCGAATGAAAAAGAAAAATACACGGGAGAGAGGTGCAATGTAATTTTAGCAGATGTATTTTAGTTTTTTTTTATTCTGGTGTCCTTGCAGACGTCAATTTTTGTTCGAATAGAGATCAAAATTCACGGAGGTTTTTACCGTTCGCTATTTTGACGTGTACATTTTTTCTTGGTGCGTTATTGGCATCATTTTCATGCGGCGTTCAGATATCTCAAAAAACAGTGGGACCACCTTGTATGTCCGAGAATGGCTGCACAATAATTTTTCACAGAAGCTATTCTGAAAACAACTCTTAGAGTGGCTTGTTCATCTCTACGTAACAGGGAACACACCTTTACACTCACTCTACTATGAGTTTGATGTTTGTCCTGTGACAAACCAAAATGTACAATTTTCAGCGCTGACATTTTCAAAAAAAGAAGATGAATCAGAATCAGAAATCAGAATCAGAAACGGTTTTAATCGCCATGAAAGTTTACACATACACGGAATTAACTATGGCCGGAAGGTGCATACATTCAACATTGAGCAATCTTTAAAACTGGAATTGGTGATATACAGTCTAACTATACTAACGTTACAAAGTATAACTAATACTAACGGGCTAAAGTATTTAAAATTATGAATAAGTAGACCATATAAAATGTGAAATGTAAAATGTGAATTAGCCATAATATACAATCTTAGAATATAAAAATACAAATAAGATAACACGTTGTAAGTATGACTAGGTGTAATTATGTAGATAAAATGTTTTCGTAAGTGTAAAAGTCATTTTAAGTGTAAAAGTCATTGTAATATTATGGGTTTTTAGGGTGCATGCATTGGTGAATGGGTCCGCGATCATCAATTCGCTACACTTGAGAAGCCTGCTTAATCACGGGTGACTGCATGAATTCAATCCCAGGATTCTATTGGCGCCAGCTCACAGCTCTGATCTCTGAGCCACCCAGCCATCACATTGCAGGAGATTATTTTACTTGCTCGGACACTATTTGCGATCTAGTGTAATAATGTGATATTTGTATTCTTGGTTCTTTCGGTAAAGTCACGTAGAAGGGAAATAATAAAATAATATAAATATAAAACAATAAAGCATTTATTTTTTATATATGTAAATTATTTTATTATGTCCCTTCTACGTGACTTTACCGAAAGAACCAAGAATATGAATCCCTGCAGTCACGAAAGCTTTAAATCAAAATTTAAGATGATATTTGTTAATTTGCATTGATACATTGCAGTTAATGCATTGCACTTCCTACCTTTCTTATATTTACATACGGTCAAGCGATTAATGCTATACGATGATTTATATTGTAATATATGGTTACTAAAAACAATAATATAATTCTATTTTCACGCAACTGCGAGTAATTCACTTGCGTTTTGAGCACAACCGTTTTCTGGGCCATGCTCACATGGGCAAGATGCGTCTGTGTGTATACATGTTGAACTTCGTTCGCGCCGTACGTAACCAACCGTGCTAATCGGAGGTCTGTGCAATGGCACAGGGAGCTTGCTGGCTGCATTAAGCCTTGTTCTCCTCTTACAGATCCGTCTGCGTCTCTCTGGAGGAGCTCGCCGATACGCCGCCCCACCCTCAACGGGCCCCTCCCGCGCTGCTGCGATTCCCGCAGAGAACGCACCTCTGCCCAGAGAGAGCCCTCCAGGGCTCGTGCAGTGGCCATGGGTCCCAACAGATCTCCTCTCCTGCTGCTGCTACCCGGCTTCCTGCTACTGCTCCTGCTGCTACTCTGCCGCCGAGCCTGCGTGGATGCCAGCGAGTGGTGGTTAGTGCTTCGTTAAGACGCTCCAGAGTTGATTTTGCCTGCCCAGTGGCCAGTTGCTAGACGCCGCCGCGCTTCGACCGAACTGTAATTATATTAAGGCTAAGAAACCACTGGTTACTGACTCTGTAACGAGCCGACTACATGTTAGCAAACTGCCAAGTACATTGAAAGGCTTCTCCGTCGGCACAATCAGCATCTGTAACCTTGTTGAAAGGAGAAAATTCGGATAAAAAAATACCGTGATTTTTTTTTCAAATGTCATAACTAAAATGGTGTAATTATATTAAGGCTAAGAAACCACTGGTTACTGACTCTGTAACGAGCCGACTACATGTTAGCAAGCTGCCAAGTACATTGAAAGGCTTCTCCGTCGGCACAATCAGCATCTGTAACCTTGTTGAAAGGAGAAAATTCGGATAAAAAAATACCGTGATTTTTTTTTCAAATGTCATAACTAAAATGGTGTAATTATATTAAGGCTAAGAAACCACTGGTTACTGACTCTGTAACGAGCCGACTACATGTTAGCAAGCTGCCAAGTACATTGAAAGGCTTCTCCGTCGGCACAATCAGCATCTGTAACCTTGTTGAAAGGAGAACATTCGGATAAAAAAATACCGTGATTTTTTTTTTTCAAATGTCATAACTAAAATGATGTGGGTGCCCGTTCGCCCACAATACCAACGGCCCCTGCACAACACCTCTGCCACCGCCACCACCACCACCGGCAGCCACAGTAGCAGGGGTGAGTTACGATCCTGCGCCTTTCGTTTATCTTGGGCTCATTGACGCCCATGGGGTGTTAACTTGACATCCGGCTGTGGCGTGACACTAGCAAGCCACCCGCCAAAGTGAATGTCATTTATTATGCTTGGAAGTATTTCAGAATCGTCGTCACGTGCAAACTCCGAGCAGGGTTTAAAGCCTACCGAGGCATGGGTGGACTCAACTATTTTCACATTTTATCTCGGCAAAACAGTGATCCAATGCAATGAATACATTTTGTCATTGGCTTAAAATTTAAACTTGAATATGGAGCCTTGTTTAAATATCACTTTGCATCTATGTATGCAAGCTCAGGGCTTTGGGTAAACTCATGACCTGCAGTTCTCCGAAGGTGATGAAGATTTTGTGCTGTTTATTCAGTAGCCTTGGAGATGTATTTTGTTGCTGTTTTCATACACATACCTAATATCCTTGGGATGGTTTAAAAAGAAAACAATTATGCATACAATGAAATGCTCTGGTTGTATCAAGTATATACTCCGGGCTTTTATAAATGTTTTTAAAACAGGGTATTGCATTTTTTCTAAGTTTCCCTATTGCAGAAATGTGTTTCGCCACCTCTTTTACTGCACGGGGGCACACAGCGTGTAAACTGATACAAAACATTCTTCGTCAAGGTACAGACGGGCGTATTGGGTGCGTCCCACGCCCCCCCCCCCCCCCCCCGCAATTGCGCACTCTAATCACTCTCAGCCTACACATGGCGAGAGATTCTTGTTTTCCCGAGCGCCACGGGTGCGATATTTAAGAAGTTTGATATTTCAGGTTGCCGCTCGGCGAATGCGTTCCGATACGCGAGCCGGCTATTTCAGGTCGCTGGCAGAGGCTGCTGCCTTTCCGCAAGCGTGTTAATATTTCAATGTCTGCCTCCACAAATTGCGCTCAAGTCAAGAGGGCTTGCTGTGTACATTCGAGCACGCGAGAAGCACCGAGGGACTAGGGCTTCGTGATCGTATTTGAATGAATTATTCAACGCAGATGCTCTGAATTGTACACTCATTGACTCCGTGAAAGATGTCATCCCCCCCCACCCGCCCGCCCACCTTCCCCGTCAGTGTTACTCTGTCAAGATCTATTATTAAAAAATATTTATTTATTTGCTAAATGATTTAGCGCGAAATAATGAAAAGTGTATTCTCATTGGAATGTTTGTTAAAGCAGTGATATATAGTAGAGACACTGGATATATGTCTTCGTGGTGTGTTTTTATTGTGTACACAGCATACGCTGCCACGGTTATGGTCAGCTCAATGGACCGGCAATAGAGGTCGCCATTTCGATCTGCCAGCACGACAGTTGTGACAATGGAGCAATTTTCTTAAATCCACCCCACGTCCAACCACACAGGAGCACACGTGGGTACACAGACGTTAGTCATTCAGCAGAACGCGCGTGGCAGATAACGTGTGGCTACTCACACGCTGCGCTACGAACCCGGCCACCCGAGTTCAATTCCCGCTTACGGACAACACCCGTGATGATTATCTGAATCGGTTCTGGGGATGCCCTAGGTCGACTCAGCCTAAAATGAGTACCTTGTGCAATGTGTAAATATAGCCACTGGGGAGACAAATGCGACCGGGCATGGTGCTGGCTACCCACCCCCTCGTGTGCCGTTCCGGTCTTCATAGGTACTCGCTAACAGCACTTGCCCCAACAGCCTGTTAAAGCTATATGGGGAATCTTTGTCTTTGTACTCACACATCAATCACTCGGCATTATACACAGGAATCATCACCCTCTACTGCCAGAGTAATGCCCCAGGTTACCCTTGCAAATGAGACTATTATGGTCTCTAGTGTTCTCACCTGTTTAAACAAAATACACTTGATCTTGAAACCTCTTCTAAGGTGTCCGACCAGTATGGAAGAGTAGGCCAAATACCATATAGATCTCTTTCGCCTGTCTCCAGTGGAGGTTATTCCGCTAAGAGTGTCTTGTTGGAGCAATTGCATAACGGCACCTTTACCATTACTTATAACACGGCAATGCAGTCCATTTCTGTACCGTGTAAAGACGTGCCAAAATATTCACACAATTTAAATAAGAGTAGCTCAAATACCCTCTCGAGGCTGACCATCTTGACCCCGTGTTTCCGTAACGCCCTGCCCCTATGTCGTCCCACGCCCTGCCCGGCAAGGTCGTTGGCCCTGAATCCTCTACAGCGCCCGGAGTTGTACCTGCTGGGAGCCCAGCCGCTGTGCTCGCAGCTGATGGGGCTGTCTCAAGGCCAGCGCAAGCTGTGCCAGCTTTACCAGGACCACGTGGTGCACATCGGGGACGGGGCACGCCTCGCCATCCGCGAGTGCCAGCACCAGTTCCGTAACCGCCGCTGGAACTGCAGCACCGCGGACAGCGACTCTGTCTTTGGGCGGCTCACCCAGATAGGTCAGTCGCTCGCTCACTCAGTTTCATCTTCATTCACCCGCTCGCCTACTTGCTCACGCACCCAGACACGTACCCTCCCTCCCTCCCTTTCACTCACTCACTCTCTCTCTCACCCACTCACTCAATCAGCCCACCATCTACTCACACTTAGTCACTCACCCACCCAATAAACCACGTACCCATCTTCTCACTCACTCAAAAGCCCTCTCACTCACTCACCCTCTCACTCATTCATTCACCCACCACTCACTCACTCATTCGTCTCATGGAATATCAGAGGGGGACATGGCTTACAGTGTTACCTAGCAGGATGGGAATCCCAGCAACCAGCAAAGCCTAATGATTAATCCCCACAAAGATTGTCACAATTACATTTTCAGCCGTCAAGATTGGTTTGTCAGTTGTCTCAGCAAAATTGTCAATTGAAGTCACCATTAGATTCTAGTATCAATTTCTACTTTTGTCTAATTTTCACCATTATATTGTATTGTTTCACATTAATATTTATCTTGGTCCTACATCGTTGTTCACTCCATTGACTTGAATGCAAAATTAGTATAAAATGCGCATTCATCATAAATAATAATACATTTATCACTGACAATTACGTGCACATATATTGTGAAAAAATCTATTCAAATCGATGCATCAATTCATCGATACATGGTAAGGAGCATACACCATCATGCGATGAGAGTCACTGCATCACGCCCTTTCAGATTCGCTTCTGCGGCCGTCTGGAATGCTCTTCTTTCTGATACGAGGAAGCCATTGGAGCTATGCACTGTCAAATAATCTAGATTGAAAGCTAATTTCTTTACAACTGCTTTTTGTGTATAGTTTTCTGTCCTTCGCCTGCACCTTCGGTTAGCACAGTTGGCTACGTACGGTGCGAAATAAGTTCTACATACCTGCCCTATACCAAGAACACAGTCTGAATTAACAAGAGTGGTTCCTTAAGCTGACTCCTGAAGGTGGCGGAGGGAGCTCGAACGCTTCGTAATGCGGAGCGGGAAAGCGTTCCAGATTCCCTGAGCGAGTATACTTTAGCCAAGCGGTAGTGGCTATGCATGCCTGTAATCAAGCACTGTTGAGCTGAGGAATGGTGGATTGCACAAATGTTGTCAAACTCCCTTTTCGTAGCCGTTGAGGAGATGCCATATTCTGGCTTGCAAGGAGCAGTTTAGAAGGCAGATGTGGACCTCGCTTGTTCTGTACGAGATAGTGATTTCCCCTCGGTTTCCTCACACCTATAAACATTCATTAATTGGCCCATAACACCTTTATCTGGGTGCCACGGTGGTAAGATGTTAACTACCTCACGCACAGGAGTGCGTGGGTTCAATCACGACCCCGACGCCTGTATATTTGGAGTTTGCGTCTCTCTCCCCGTGGTCGCGTGGATTTTTCTCTGGGTCCTCCAGTTTTTCCCTCCACCTTTATAAACACGCGTTAGAGTATTTGGCTGCTATAAATTTACACGTGATAAGCCACTTCGTTAAGGTATCATTTCTGGCCAGGTCACTTCCGACAAAGAGCTGTATAACACAGTGGGCATTTCCTGGTAAAGTAAAAATTATTTTACCTTTATATATAGAGGATCATAGAGCTTGGGCAATTGTTGCTACCGGTCAGCCGCGTGGCTGCTGCCTTCCTGCTTGGCTGTGGTTCCTCCTCGCAGCTCCGAGTCGTCTCTCTATGGGAGTGAATACCGGGCATTGTTGCATTACAAGTCGAAATTATTACACTATATTGGCCGTTATTTTTGGCTGCACTACTGGAGAAGGCATGATGAGAAGTCATGGAGTTGCGAATGTGGAGGAACAGTAAAGAGAGCCAGAAAACTGGACAATCATCTTAAGGTCTTCCCACAAGCCAAATGAGTGACATTCCATTTGTCCTGTGAAGTCACGAGATGAATATGTTCACATTAGAAAATCTCACAGCTCGCAATGCACTGCCTGGTATCAGAAATTAGCGTTTATCCCACACTAGAGGTATGCTACAGGCATACGTTTTATATTAAACGAATGAGCGTTTCTTACGTGTCAAATCAAACATTTTTTAAAAATTATTATTTATGAGTGCTGCGGAAAAACTAAACTCAGAGAAAACTAAGTTAAATACCGTAATAACTTTGGAACCTCATTTGCCAGTAAAAAAAAAATGATAATTGTTTTTTTACCCTTTTATATGGCAACAAAACTTTATCTGGCAACAAAACGCCTTTTGGCGTCATCTGGTTCAACACCATGTGAGACTAGGCTCTAAGTAAAGCTGTCTCGGGTGTGGACCAATCAACTTCAAGGACAGTGCATACATTATCAGAGTTATGTTTTTTGTTTGCATTATGACTGCAGGTATTGTGGTCTATGCAAACATGACTCCTTGTAAAAAAGGTGTCAGTTATGTTACCAGATAAAAGGGTAAAAAAACAATTATCACCATAATAACTCTTCATTCACGGATTGGTCTTTCGCAAAAAAGTGACTATTCGGTTGAAGTTTTTCCGCACCCATTTTCCGCTCGACCATTCGCGTTTCGGCAAGACTGCATCACGGATAACGGGGGGCGGACGGGGGGGAGCTGTTACCTGCGCCCAACAAGTATTGGATCGCAGCCCCCAACACGTACGTTGCGTGCAAATGCTCGGAGCAGGGAGCCGCGAGACGGCGTTCGCCTACGCCGTGTCGGCGGCGGGCGTGGTGAACTCCGTGGCGCGCGCGTGCCGCGAGGGAGAGCTGGCCACGTGCGGCTGCAGCCGGGCGGCGCGTCCGCCGGACCTGGAGCGCGACTGGCTGTGGGGCGGCTGCGGCGACAACCTCGAGTACGGATACCGCTTCGCCAAGGAGTTCGTGGACGCCAGGGAGCGCGAGCAGCACTTCGCGCGCGCCTCCGCCGAGAACGCGCGCGCGCTCATGAACCTTCACAACAACGAGGCGGGCCGTCGGGTGAGTCGGTGCTCTGTGGGTAATTTGCCCTTGTTGTTGTGGTTGTTGTTGTTGTTCACTTACCTGGCCACCCACCTATTTTTGCGTTTAGTTGTTGTCCTTCACGTGCATCGCTAATTCGCACGGTTGGCTATGTACGGTGTAAAATAAGTTCAACATGCATGTACGTACGTACATAGCCAGTCGCTCCCACCCACCCACTCACTCACCCACTCACTCACCCACTCACCCACCCACTCACCCACCCACTCACCCACTCACCCACCCACCCACCCACTCACCCACCCACCCACCGACCCACCCACCCACCGACTCACCCACCCACCCACTCACCCACCCACCCATCCATTCACCCACTCACCCACCCACTCACTCAACCACCCACCCGTCCACTCACCCACTCACCCACCCACCCACCCACTCACTCACCCACCCACCCACTCACTCACCCACTCACCCACCCACTCACTCACTCACCCACTCACCCACCCGTCCACTCACCACCCACCCACTGATTCTGCACCCACCCACTCACCCACCCACTCACCCACCCACTCACTCACCCACTCACCCACCCACCCGTCCACTCACCCACCCACTCACCCACCCACTCACTCACCCACCCACTCACTCACTCACCCACCCACTCACCCACCCACTCACTCACCCACTCACCCACCCACCCGTCCACTCACCCACCCACTCACCCACCCACCCACCCAGGAGCTAAATGTCAATGTCGAGGTCTGCCAGCTACGACAAGAGGGCTTCAGGCGAGAGAGTTCGTGTAGTTTTTCAATTCCTCTGTTGAAGGAGTGCAGACCACACTGGTTTACAAAGCGGTCCATAGCAATGGTAATGCATTGCTGACAAACATATTAATGCGTTACTGATCACAAGCCAAATACCCCCACAAAAATAATACTTGCCTCTTGACTACTACAAAAATGCAACGCAGGACATGTATCGGGCGCCTCTTGTAAAACCAACAAAGTTATATATCTCTGTTTAAACAAAATGCATTCATTAACAGTGATACATTACTGATCACACTGTTGTTGCTGATGTTATTGACAACTCCAGTAAACTGGTGTGGTAGAGACAGGCCACCTGAACCGCAAATGAGATCATCCCCCAGGTGCTGGGTTTCCTGTTCGAAATAATAATAATGAAACAACTCAACACGTTCATTAATAACGCTGCCTTTAAAGGAGAAATGTATACATATATAATCGGCAACGTTTTGGGCAATGTCCCTTCTTCATAATGAAGGCAGTGTTATTGACGAATGTGTGTGTTTATATATGTTCTGGTGTAGCGCTGCCAAACGCAGCAGCATCACCAAATCAAGTTCGTTCCTTTCTCAGTACCGATTGTCCTGGTGAGGGTCGCGGCGGCAACACGTTGAGTAGGGTGGTCCAGACCTCCCTTTCTTGTTATTATTCCTCTGCTCATTAACACGGGAAATGCTCACCGAGTCCCCACTATTTTTCTGGAGGGATATTGCTAAGTGTTTGCAGTAGGGGGCGACGATCTCTGTGTGTTTCTCAATCAACTAAATTTCGAGTAATTTTACAAATTGAGACCAATTTGTACCAAGACGCTGGCACGTAATATTATACAACTAGTGGCATTAGCCGTCATACAACGGGTTCGTAAATTTTGTATTCAATGAAAAATAATAAAACGTAAAGATTGTATTTAATTTATTTAATTAAACATTTCTCTATATACAGTATCACATTTGGTGTAAATTGATCATCTCTCAAGGGTTTACCTTGAGATGGAGTTTGTTGAGTCAGCACTAACGAATCGCTGGACGTGTACCATTGCATAATCCCTTTTTTGGGGGGTTGAGATTTCGTATCGGCATTGCAATGGTTCTTTTTTTTTCAAAACAAATTCATGAGGTGGCATTCCCTGAAGGTGTTAGTGGAGTGGTGCAAGAAATTCTGCTGGATAATGATTTGGACGTTACTCGGATCTACGTCACATACCCCAGCGTTACATACAGCATTAGTGTCAGGCACGAGGCACAGATCATCAAAACTACATGTACATTTTTGGAGAAAATTGATTATTCTTGTAACAAACTAATATTTAGTTACAATTTTCATATAATCCTCTCATTAAAAAACAAAACAAATATTGCATGATAATCCACGTAGCCTCCCCAGCGGGTATGCACAGCGTACAGAGTATCAGGCGTTAGGCACAGATCACCAACACTGTATATAATGAAAGCATAATTTACAATGCATGCAAATCATCGTTGATGCCTGAAATTAGTGGCTTTGTTTTCGAGTGTAAACCATCTTCCCTTATCCACAACGGTGAGCTGGGTGTACGACTGACAAGAGATCTTCATGTTTGTTGTTTCACCTTCCATGAGCATGAGGCCCGTAAACATGCAACGTTCACCCAGCCTTGGCATGTAATTGAACCCGTTGGACTAACGTTGGCTCAACGTTCCATTGTTTCCTGGGCGCACAGGATTACAAGCGCAGATCGCTGCGTTCCGACGTCACGTTCCAAATTTGTCAAATTAAAACAAATTTTCTTGCAATTTACCAGGTTGGAAATATACTTGAATTGGTTTTTTACCCTTCTATCTGGAAACAAAACTGACACCTTTTTTTTACAAGGAGTCATGTTTACATAGACCACAATACCTGCAGTCATAATGCAAACAAAAAACATAACTCTGATAATGTGCACTGTCCTTGAAGTTGATTGGTCCACACCCGAGACAGCTTTCCATGGGTTGGACCAGATGACGCCAAAAGGCGCACAACTCAAAGACAATGCACCATCAGAGTATGAGAGCTCGGGAAGAGCATTTACACCATTGGAACCTCATTTGCCAGTAAAAATATGATAATTGTTTTTTTACCCTTGGTGAAAATATACTTATTAATTATCGCCCCCCACCCCCCCGTACTGCGATAATTTGGCAGGACCATCCTGAAAAAGAGCCATGAGACTCAGTGAGACTTTCCTGAGAAAATAAGCAGAAAAATATTAATATAACGTCCGAATGAGACCATAATTATTATATGTATGTTACTGTATGTTGAACTTCTTTCGCACCGTACGTAGCCAAGCGTGCAAATCGGAGGTGCGGATATGAAATGCTTGTTCATACATTGAAACAAAAAATACCCCAAGTAAGCCGATAACACGTGTCAAAACATGCAGTTTTATCTTTTGTCATAACGTGTCATCAATTCACATCATTACCTGATTATTGCCCAACGGAGGTGTCAACACACAATGTGATAGTGGGTGATGGGTCCGCTACAGAATGCATAGCTGGGATCGCCGTGAGCTATTGCCATTTGTGAGGAGAGCTTAAAGTGAGTGGAGCCGCATGAGGATTAAAGGACGCTCTCTAAACCCCCAACTCTGATTGGCTAATCGAGGCGCTTGTAGAAACGTCCCAAAATAGGACTACAGAGTTCTTGCTGCCTTTCTACTTTGCTGGTCTGTGGCTTCATCGTGCTTGTAAATAATTCTGTCTCTCCCTGAGAGTGAATGTTGATACTCCTACTGATGCTCCTGCTGTTGTGGAGTGACTCGTGCAGGCAGCTATGGCTACAGGGTTTGGTGGTACATGTTTTTGATGTCGTTTATTGTGAAAATTCGGTCACAGTTCCCATGAGCACTGTTGCATTGCTTTTATGGCTTTATTTTGGTGATTTCTAAAAGTTTTTTGGTTTGCCCATGTTTTTGTTTGTTGTAGTACGGAGTTAGACTGATGGCTTTAATCTAAGTTGTCTTGTGGTTGTTGTTGTTGTTTGGCTTGCATCCCACTGGGATTTTTGCACACAGCGTTGGTGTACGGTGCTTTTTTTCTGGAAGACTTTGCAGTTTTTTTCTGGATTTTTCTGTTTGCACATAGTCACTTTAAGATGTTTTCTTGTTCATGTTTTTGTCTTTTGTTTTGTTGCGGTTGCACCCGATTCATGAGCCGAATGGCTCACAGGGCTATACCAAATTAACGGAAACTGAACTGAAACTGCTAACTATGCAAGTTACACATTGTGCATTATTAGTACGATACAGTATACAGAAGAGTAACACTATCGCAATGTATTGGGAAGACGTACGGTACTCAACATTGTTCAACAGGGGAGAGCCCTACACGGTTACGTACATACTACGGTGTTTTTGATGATAATAATAATAATACAGCACTGCACCCTTCAGAAACTACTTAATTCCACTGATGGATAAAGAGGCCCTTCAGGCAACGTCACTTGCAGCGCTTGTTTTTACCATACTTGCCCAGTTGGTGAAGGTGGATCCCAGAACCGATTTATAATTAACTTGATTCTGATGTTGACCGTGTAATACGAAAGATAGCTGTAGTCATGAACAAACATTTATCGTGGGTCATTTACAGAACATGTTCAATCATCAACTCAATACATTCCAAGACGTATTCATGACTCACACGACAAAACATTATGAATAGTGCACCACGGGACAGTGCACGCCTTGTCCCTTATTGAATGCATGTGCTGTGGACAATGTCTGTAGGTGCCTCTGTAAGGCTAGCTTGCAGGGGAGAGCGCATGAATTCATGCTTTGAGCAATGTGAGCCTCGACGGGAAAAGTGCACAATGACACGCTCCGAGTTAATCAGTTCCTCGTGGGGATGCAATGTGAATTTGTGCGTGAATTGCAAACGCCAAGGGGTAATGATGAACAGCTGGGGGGGCTTTGAATCGGGCATTGTGGTGAGCGAGAGCGGAGATGACGGGCGGTAAAGTTCCCTTTTCCAAACATTAGCGAGTGGATGGATGCAGCTTCAGCAGTGGGCCATTTAGCAAAAATGCAAACAATTACAGACTTTGTAGCTGGCTTAAATTATTCATGGAAATATGCTTTATAGTATTATTATTTCATGCATTTCCTTTTTTTTAGAGCATGGTAATAGCGTATTCTGGGTTTTCTTAAGTCACATGTTTGGAATATGGTCAATAGAAAAGTGACAGGACATTTGCCGCATGTTTCAACTCTCATACAATGCCTCGGCGCAATATTCATTTTCTACCCTTCTAAATGGCTCGAGAGCATTTGTTTCCCTCCCCTCCGTAATCCACCTCAATGCCCTCTCCCTTCTCTCCCCCGGCCTTCCCCCCTTCACCAAAACTCCCTAAACCACCCACCCCTCCACCCCCGCCAGGCCGTCTACCGCTTGGCGGACGTGGCTTGCAAGTGCCACGGCGTGTCGGGCTCGTGCTCGCTCAAGACGTGCTGGCTGCAGCTCGCCGACTTCCGCAAGGTAGGCAAGGAGCTCAAGGAGAAGTACGACAGCGCGTCGGCCGTGCGCCTGGGACGCCGCGGCAACCTGGAGCCGGCCAGCCGCAAGTTCAGCCCGCCGTCCGTCGACAACCTGGTGCACGTGGACGCGAGCCCGGACTACTGCGTGCGCAACGAGACGACGGGTTCGCTGGGCACGGCAGGCCGCTCGTGCAACAAGACGTCAGAGGGCATGGACGGCTGCGAGCTCATGTGCTGCGGCCGCGGCTACGACCACTTCAAGGCGACCGTGGTGGAGCGCTGCAACTGCAAGTTCCACTGGTGCTGCTACGTCAAGTGCAAGAAGTGCACGTCGGTCGTGGACAGGTTCGTGTGCAAATAGCGGCGGTGGCGGCGGCCGTTTCGGGCTCCGTTCCTCGCTCATTTTCGGACTTTCTCCACCTCCTCGCCGCAACCGCCACCCGACTCCCAAACATGACCCCCCCCAAAAAAATTGCCTGCCCCCGACAACCCTCCCCAACCCTGCCCGCCAATCCCCAACGCTCTGCGTAAACCACGACCGCCACTCTGGAGCAACTGGAGCAGAACAGCGCAGAAGAGGGGAGGGAAGAAAAATCTCGAAGACTGATGTTGTTCTTGAGCGCTTGCTCCCGTCCAAGCAACTGAAGCAAATCTGAGAGAGAAAACCCCGGCAGGCAGCTTGAATGAGTTTGCACACACGTGCCTCTTTATTGCCGGATCGCGGCCGTGCTCGTCATGGATGGACATTGCGAGTTGCGACGTGGGAGCGGATATTTGAGCACTGGCACGTGAAGAAAGTTTTCATTTGAGAAGTAAGAAGAGGGAAAAAAATACTTTTTATTTAATTGCGGCCAGGTGCATACACACAAATACACAACGAGTTGGGGGGTTGTTTTTGTTCATGTTTGTACCCCATCAGTGGACAAACTTGCAATGAGATGGTTGTCCTAAATCTTTCAAAAGCTGGAAAATGCTTGGAAATAAATGGGTATATATGTATTGCCCATTGTAACTGAAAATGTTTAAATGGTAGGTTGACAAACCAAAGAACATTCTCTGCTTTTTTTTACATAAACTGTTTGTAAAGCTGAACTATCATATTAAGTAATTAAACAATCTATTAAATATATATTCTAGCATAGACCAAAGCCTTATTTTCTAAAGTGAAACGGTACGGTGGTATATGAAACGTTCCTAGATTTATTTCACTTAATAGACCATACCAAACAGCAATAGCTGGCATTGGACTCAACACAACACCGCGTAAATAAAATCTACCCCTTGTGCCTTTGTAAATAATACGGTTCCGAGGATGATGCCTTTCCTTGACTTGCACTGGGGTAGCCAGCACTTCTCGCTGTTGCGTGATAAACTTTGTTAGTTCCTTGGGACTTGTGTAATTTGTGCTATCGGGGCTTGCAAGACAAAGTTGTGGTCCTTTGTGGTTTCTGTTTTTTTCTCCCCATTTTTTCACGCGCACACATCCTTCCAGCGCCCTCTACGAGACAAACCGGGCAAACACGAAACACGTAATAAAGGAATGGCAACCCGTTATTGCATCGCAAAGAATTGACGCGGCGAATTTCATTTGTTTGGGTTGTTGTTGTTGGGTTTTTTCACGGAGACAATTGTTCAACTTTGAAACTCAGATTGATTTCAGTAGCCTATGTGTGTACGTGTAAGACCCATTGCAAGCTCGAACCCCCCCTCACCCCCTTGTTTAAAGCTTGGATGATGGAATTGTGCTAATAATGGGTTAGGCCTGCCACTGCATGTTAAGTGCATTTTATTTATTTGTTTAATGATTATGCATTCAAAGTACAGTAATAACGTGTTTGACAAGACACCCATTAAATGGGTGATGGATCCGTACAGCACCGTACGCCTATCCACCGTTGACTTACAGACGCACATTTATTTTTAATAATGCATGTAACCGTTTATTTATTTATACGTGGATTCATTGTGGTCACCTTTAACGCTACAAATGTATAATTTCTTATCTATATTTTGGATACTTATCGAAAATAAAGGCGGCAGTAGGATACGATTTAGACTGGACGACATTAACGGGACTGTACATCGTCATAGCTCACAGCGGCACACAACTTAAAGGATATGCCAAAAGATGCAGCATTGTGGAGCATGAATAAATTGTTTTGGCAAATAAATAAATATAGCTACTTATTGACCCAACCCATGGTTGTGTGACAGGCAGGAATTTATTTCTGTAGTGCAAATGCTTGTGGTGTGTGGAGTTTGATGAAATTCCATGGTGGACAAACTACACGGTAAGAAATTACAGTATTAGGCTTGTGGATGATGATGATGGTGGTGGTGGTAAGTGTGTGAACTGTTTTACTTCGATGAATATACTCTACGCCCATTTGTTAATCCATTGCTGGATGAAAGCCTCCCAATGCCATGTTGGTCAATGAGGACCACCCATAAAGGTAGGGGAGGGTCTGCTAGCTAGAGTAATAGTCCACATCTCAACTGGCATCTCAACTGATCCCACTCACCAATTGCTATTGGCCAAGGCTGGAAATCAAACTCTGGTCGTAGGGTGCATAGTGCAGTGAGCGAACCACCGCTCTGCCACATATGTACAGCCCTTTGTCAATCCACTGCTGGATGAAGGCCTCCACACGGTAGGTTTGTCACGGGTGGTTGATTGTCAATCCACTGCTGGATGAAGGCCTCCACACGGTAGGTTGGTCACGGGTGGTTGATTGCTCACCATACTGGTCTGTGTGGGTTAGTGAATGCCTGCGGGTAGCATAGACACAGGACAATAGAATATGGCCACACTCTAAACGTATATATTTAATACCATGATCATTTGGCATTGAGGCTTGGACCATGCATCACATGGTGTGCATGGTTGAAGCTGCGTATATTAAAAAAAAACATCTCTGGGTCTTCACAAACGAATCTGGGTCCTTGGAAGAAACTCTGCTGTGAAGTTCAGTGCGCACAAGTGGACTTCCATGAGTTTGCTGCATGCTACAAACAAAAGGCCCACAGGCATGGACTTCTTTTGCTGAATGTGATCAGTCAGTGCAAATGTGGTTTCATACAGCTCTGATTTACTGCTATGTCTGTGTCCATTTGGCACACAATTAACATTTGAGGTCGGCGCTTTGTCTTACTATTAAATTACAGTGATATCGTGACTTGTCATATAATCTATACATGGGTTTAAACATTTACACAAAAATGCGGGTTTCTCAAGAAGAAATGGGTCAATAACAGAACTCCCAGAATTCCAACACTCTGCAGGGACATCACCCCATGGATTACATGTGCTGGATTGAGGCCAACGTATGCAATACTGTAAATAGATGGTAGGAAACGCGTGGGAAGATCCAGTTTGTGATCAGAAGCAGCTGCGTTTTGATGTCTGAATGACACACAGTGGCTCTCGTTCTAGCCCAGCTCAAGGAGTTGCGTTGGCGCAAAGGTTCTCTGTTCTTCATCACAAACAGGGCAGGAACTTTCCAGTTCGAAACACACCATGCCCAGGAGACAATGACATTGGTTCAAACTTACATTGGACCAGATGGATAAGGGGGTTATGGTTCCGTGTCTGAAAGATAATAATCAAAATAATACCGTGCCCCGATGTAAAAATAAATGTTAAAATAGACGGGCATAATTTTTATTGCAGAGATGAAACCCAAGAATTACCTCATGCTTCAAGGCATGGTGAGTGCACATCACAATGAACTAGTGTTCGTTTAGTCAGAATTTGCTTTAATTTTAGGCACTATTACTCTAGTCGACAACCTGTGTAATTATATTAATGTCTTAGTCTGTGGATTCCATTGCGTAATTATCTAAATATAATTGATGAAAGAAGTAAAAATGTAGTCCACTCTTAAGTCGCTACATGTTGGTGTGAGGGGAGGGGGCGAGATTTCCCACCCACCCAATCAATATTCGTCAGTCATGCTTAGCTTTTTGATGGGGAATCGGTGATGATCATGCTCGATAAAAAAAAACCCAGTCGTTGACTAAAATGAAAAAATATACGAAGTTTAATATTTTCATTACTAATTTTATCAAAAAAATTAACACTACTCAAAAAAGCCTGAATAAAATTCCGTGCCAAGAATTAAATCAGTGATAACATCTGAACTTAATGAATTGGTGGCCCTTCACCACCTCATGCTGACGAGTGTAATTAAGTATGGCCAAACAAACAACCCCCAACGACATGGTGTAGACAGGGTATCCAGCAGTGGACTGACATTAATAAATGAGAGCTTAAATTTCGATTTAAAGCTTTCGTGACTGCAGGGATTCATCTTCTTGGTTCTTTCGGTAAAGTCACGTAGAAGGGAAGTAATAAAATAATAAAAATAAAACATAATAAAATAATTCTCACGACGTTTCGGCCACAACGCAAACAGCCGTCCTCAGGTGAAAACCAGGTCTGTCGGGGAGACAGCGTCTGAATGAAACAGCACATGAGCTTGGAGCATATATATAAGCTGGGTTGGGAGGGGGGGAAAGGGCGCTTCGACAAAAGAGAGCTTGCAATCGGTTGGTTGTGAGTGCAAATTTCAGTCGGGGATCAACTTGGCCATTGATCCTTCCTGGGAAGTCAACAGTGGTTCTATGGAAACTCACCCCCCCCCCCCCCAACTTTAGGAATGTGGAATTTCTACTACTAGTTTAGGCTTGTCAACAGTCGAAGAGCATTACCCCACACTCGATTGGGCGAGAAACCCCTCAATATTTTAATGAAGAGGGTGGAGAGTTCTTGGGTTGTCTGTCACATGTAGTGGCAGTGGATCATGAATGCGGCACAACAGAGGTGTACACCGAGGCACAAACAGTAGCAGCTGTGTCCAATATTCATAAGAAATATTTCAAAGTTCAAAGTTCATTTATTAGGTATAGCCCTGTGAGCCATTCGGCTCTTGAATCGGGTGCAACCGCAACAAACAAAAAAACATGAACAAGAAAACATCTTAAAGTGACTATGTGCAAACAAAAAATCCAAGAAAAGACAGCAAAATATTGCAGAAAAATCACCGTACACCAACCCTGTGCAAATATCCCAGTGGGATGCAAGTCAAACAACAACAACCACAAGACAACTTAGATTAAGGCCATCAGTCTAACTCTTTTCTACAACAAACAAACATGGTCAAACCAAAAAACTTTTCGAAAATCACCAAAATAAAGCCATAAAAGCAATGAAACAGTGGTCATAGGAACTGTGACCGAATTTTCACAATAAACGACGTAATGAAATAGGGACGGTTAGGTCGAAGTGGCATTTACACTATGCTGTCAGTGACATTATTTTCATATTAAATATTGTAGGTGTTTTTTTTTAAAATAATCTCTATCATTTGCATCTGCATACTAAATGACATTTCACTATTGGGTTTCACTAAAACTGTTGGCCCACGTTTGGAGACCTGTATATTGTTCATACGTTACTTGGTCCAGTTTGCAATAAATCTTTATATCCTGACACGTAATCCTACCCATATCCTGTACAGGAATTTCTTTGAAAGGCAAATTACAAATACTGTACGCAGCAACCTTTGCATTAAATATATTTTCTAAAATAGTCTATAAGCAACATTGCACTGAATATCGTTAAATTGGTAATGTCAGTGTCACGTATGGCTTTATCATGATTCGTGGGAATGCCTGTCGTGAATTATAAGGCGAGGATGTAATGTCATATTTTACTTATATTAAAGGTGCCCTTGAGCAGACCTTTGTCTGGGAGAGAGATAAGCAGTGTCGTCATGGCAGTCGGGTTTTATGACATTTTTTTACTGACGTTGTTCCACAATCATGTACCACTTATTGGTAAAAAATACAACCATTTTAATTCACTCAGATAATGAAGCTGAAAAAAAATGCAAGAGCAGCCCAAAAAAGTACAACACTTATAAAAAATATTTGCCACACGGTGAGACGGTTTCTCATCACTCTATTAAAACAGCATTTGTGTTTCGTTCACAGCCATTATTGCAAACGTGTCTCGAACTATATTGGCCGAAGAGATCAGGCTCGCATCCTTGATGGCTTTTAAAAGTCAAGCCGGGGAATTTATTGAGCTGCAGTGGGATTTGAGACAGGGCGGCGAGGTTAATGCGGCTGTTCGATAATAGTGAGTGACGGGGCCAGTGGCGCCCACAGAGTAGGCAGAACCTTGCTCTGGTGTCTCATCAGAAGTGAAAACCTGTCACCACGCAGTGACCCGGCCACTCTTCATAACCCTGCCGAGATGCATAAGAGACCCGAGGCCAGGGGTGATCGTGGGCATCTTGCGACGATGGCTTGCAGAGAGAAACGCGATTTGTATTCCTTGGTGGTGTGCCAACGTAAAGTTTAACCAGCGACACCATCTGTTGGGTTCAGCGGCGATTCTGGCCCATTTAGGGGCCCTAAGAAGAAGTTATTTTTGGTGGCTCCCTCGCCTTTCGATTTATAAACTCCCAAGTGAGATTACAGAAGAAATACAGTATATACAAGAGAATAGAGAAATAGCAAGATGAGAGAAGTTACATACAAATGAGACAGATGCCGTGAAATAAGAGATGTAGACAAGATAAAAATATGAAATTATGTACATAAGATACAGTGCAATGTACAAATGAGATTAATAGATTTTCAATGTATAGCTTTTTTGCATTCGAATGTGAATTTGATCTATATTTAGTTCACCTCTATTTATTGCATGAACCCAGGGCCCTTTGAGATGCTTGCGGTCCTGAGTGCTTGCAACATCGTTGGCTTATGTCTCGCACCACCCTTTGTCTGTGGTTGGTGTTTTATTATACTGTCATGTGCCACCGTCCTGTTTATGAAGAACAGAGCCATTGCACTGACACGCAAGCTACTTGAGATGGGGGACAAATATCTTCCGTGTGTGCCATGCAGGCATCACTTACAATTCTCTCCCCTCTGATAAAAAAATTGCCATTTTTAAAATGTGACACCACTGCACTTTTATTAAAACGAATGGAAGTGATGATTAGTTGTAGTTTCATGTTTAGTTTGACATAGCGTCCATAATGCATATTTCATCTACAACAATCACCGAGGACCCACAGACAAGCTGGAAGTTCGCTGGCAGGTGGTGAGCCGCAGCTACCAATAATTTCCCAAGCTCAGCAATCCTCTATACATTCAGATATTTTAAACCAATTAATGAATGTATACATGTTGGGAGGAAACCGGAGCACCCCGGGGGATAGATGGAGACAGATGGTGATTAGTCCACACTTTTTGTACTGCCGACTCGTGGCAAGCCAGGGTATGTCACCTCGCGCGCCAACACGAATTGAGTTGGAACAGATGGAAATTAGTCCACACTTGCTGTACCGCCTTATCCTGGCAAGCCAAGGTATGGGACCTCCTTGACGCCGCAATGTGTGTGATCCACCAACACTCGCGAACTCCAAAAGTGCATGATTACAGAGGCCACGTGCACCGCCATCACTGCCCCTCCTACTGGACATGTGAAAAAAAAGCTTTATAGCTCATCGGATTCCTCCAATAGAAGTATTCTGTATCATGGGACCTCCCTTGCCAATCAGTTTCACAGACAATGCATATCATACCAGAGCATGTTTTATGTTTGCATGTTCACCACAAGTATATGTGGACATGATTCTTTGCAAAAGGTTTCAGTTTGATTAATTAACATCGTAACACCTAAATTTTGATTTAAAGCTTTCGTGACTGCAGGGGTTCATATTCTTGGTTCTTTCGGTAAAGTCACGTAGAATGGAAATAAGGAAATAAATAATAAAATAATATTAATATAAAACAATATTAATATTATTTTATTATTTCCCTTCTACGTGACTTTACCGAAAGAACCAAGAATATCGTAACACCTGTTTATTGCCAAAAAGGGTAAAACCTATTCTCATGTTCTTTTATAAGTATTCTGATACTGGTAGGAACTACCTGGTTCCACCAGCCCACAGGAGATTATTGTGTCCGTCCGTCGTGCATCCAAAAGTGGGAGGGGTGGGGCTGGGTGGGGAGGGGCTGGCTGGGGAGGGGCTGGGTGGGGAGGGGAGGGAGGGGCTGGGTGGGGAGGGGTGGGGCTGTGTGGGGAGGGGCTGGTCACCTCGTGGTGCCCTTATAAAACTCAACGTTTAACCTACTCACGCCGGCTTGTGCCCGCCCTCACAGTCGGGCATATTTGCGGAATCCACCACGCCGCCGTTGACCCTGGCCATTGACCGAGCAACCCAACGTTCCTACCAGCTCCCTCCGCAGGAATGTGTTTAAATGGAGTGCCATAATGACACACCTGACCCTGACTTTAGTTTGTTTTTTTTATTTACAAAGTTTGAACGTGGGTGTTTAACAGCTCGGTGTATAATTTGCTCCCTCTGTTGCCTGCCAACCCAGTCGCCCTTAACAGAGCCGTATAAATCAATTTGGCTTTAACTTGGGGCAATAAACTTTTGACTTCTGCCAGAGCCGAGTGCGTACGTGAGATAAGAGTATGTATGTCTGTGAGATAAGATTATATATGTCTACGAGATAACCTGTGTTTTTGTTTGCTCAATACACAGAGGCTTGAGTGCTTTTCGCACACGCTATCGGCCGTTGTTTAAACACTTTCAAGATAAGCAGCGACGTACACCGAATTACGTCTTCTTATAATGAATACTTAATTCAAATTCATCAGCATTCGAATCGTTCGAATAGGCGAGTTGTCAACCCACAAGGCGAACTTGCATACCTGTCAACCCCTTATCAGTGCCCTCCTACCTTATGACAGACCAGTCCCATCACAAGGGAGAAACACAAAGAGACGACATATTTGTTGCCTGTATTGAAACGGCTGTACGCACGTAGTATGGACCTGAAAACTCAATTTCCCTGTACAAGAACACGGGGTAAATTCTAGATTTGAAGCTTTCGTGGCTGCAAGGATTCATACTCAGTTTTTTCCCGGTAAAGTCACGTAGGTGAAAAATTAAATAAATAACTAAATTAAATCAGACGTTTCGGGCGCAACACAAGCGTCCTTCTTCAGGTGCGCCCGAAACGTCGTGATTTAATTTTTTTTCATTTATTTTTTTACCTACGTGACTTTACCAAAAAAACCCAAAGAATACGGGGTAAACCGTATGGGTTGACAGCTATGAGTAACTTGAGTTGCCACAACCTATACTCGTTTACCTCACAATACAAGGAGAGCCTTATACAAACGTGAGCGATCGGGGCTAACTTGCGTTAAAGACATGTTTAGAAGCTTAAAGCAATTATTGTAGTAGTACAGTACAAGTGCAGTAGTACAGTACAAGAGGTGGGGGGGGGGGTGAACCGCAAGAAACCTCCACGTGGCCATTACGTAACCCCCCCCGCCTACGTCACAGGCGACCCAGCCGGCGGAGGAGACGTCACCACTCACGTCAAACACCGGCGTGGCTGACGTCACCGCGGCAACGGCTTCGAACGCCTGTCAGCCAACGCGTGATTGACGTCACCGCGCACGGTGGGGGTGGGGGTGTGCGTGGTGACGTCAGCGAGCACGATGGTGGGGTGGGGGGCGTGTTGACGTCACCGCGCACGGTGGGGGTGGGGTGTGCGTGGTGACGTCTACGAGCACGATGGTGGGGTGGGGCGTGTTGACGTCACCGCGCACGGTGGGGGTGGGAGGGCGTGTTGACGTCACCGAGCACGATTGTGGAGTGGTGGGGGCGTGTTGACGTCACCGCGCACGGTGGGCGTGGGGGTGCGTGGTGACGTCACCACCACGATGGTGGGGGGGGGGGGCGTTTGACGTCACTGCACCCCTCGCCCGCTCGCCCTTGTCGAGGCCGAGCGTTGTTTTTGCGCGAGGGGGGGGGGGCGACGAAACCACCCCGCCCCACCCCCCACACCCCGCCCCCTACCCCCCACACCCCGCCCCCTACCCCCCACACCCCGCCCCCTACCCCCCACACCCCGCCCCCTACCCCCCACACCCCGCCCTCATCCCCCACACCCCCCACCAACTCCCTCCCACCCCCTCCCCGCCGCGCTCGCGCCGATGGCGGCTCCCGTCGGTCGTTTCGTCTCGCCGAGGTGACGCTGCTCTCCTCCTCATCCGTAAAGATCTCCTCGAAATCTTCGGGGCAACAAAAACAAAAAAACCCGCCACCCCCGCGGGGGGGAAGCGATGTCTCGCCTGCGAGGTAGGCTTGCGAGCTCGGACACAGCCGCCGCGCGGAGAAGAAGAGAGGGAAAAGAACGGTGGTGGTGTTAGCGGGTTCGAAGGGGGCCGAGTTTTTGAGGGGCCCCCTTTCGACAGCGAAGATGTCGCTGCTGCTGCTGTTGTTGTTGTTGCTTCTGATTCTTCTACTACTACCGTGGTCGGGGGGAATCGAACCCGGCTTTTATGTCGAAGCGTTACTGCGTCTCCCAGTTAGCAATTCGACGGAAGCTCGTCTCTTTTAATTGTACGGGCCCGTTAATGTGCTTGGGTGGAAGGCCTCCCCTGACCACCACCCCACCACATCCTCATTGTGTTAGTTGTGTCCATACTTCACCACGCCAGTCAGTAGTGTTCGGTGCGGATTGGTGAAGGGAGACAAAGGCGCTCGGACCGGTTCAGATATCGCCTCACCACTGCCGCTAAAGCCCCTTGGCCGGGAATCGAACTCATGCCGAGGCGAACAACTGCGCCACCATTGCCCCAACGTTGAAGGTGTTAGACGGGGCAGCAATCAGCCCCCTCGTGTGTTAATCCACTGCCTCTGTCGTTTGACCATACTTCACCACGCCGGGCGATGTTGTTGTACACCGTAACATGTACACAAGGCGATCAAAGTCATTGTTGTTGTTACAGGGCTGTGTCAAAGTCATCTGTTTGAAGCCACTTGCTCCGTCGGATTTGGGTTTTTTTTGGGGTTGTGGAAAGGCTTTGATGAGATTCTAGAATGAAATGTGCTGCTCACAAGCAAACGAGTTGGATGGATCTAATTGCCCCCCTCTCGTATAATTGTTGTACACCGCAACACACTGGGTTCGTGTTTCAATCGCCAATTGCACGGCCATTATCTTGTACCTCTTGTGACACTCAATGGCCATAGCAGCAAGTTGGGTGTCAAATCAATTGGCGTGTGCGTGTCGTGTAGGTCATTTGACCATAATTCACAGTGTTGGAGGTGTTTTGTTGAATGTGAGATGTTGCCGTATACACGATCCGAATGGGACCCACACGTCGCAACCTTTGTTGACGTTTAAAGCTATCTCTGTACTGTATCCGCCTTTTCAAAACGTTCGCGTAAGGTAATTCCCGGTTGATCTGATCAAATCTCAGAAGCTAATCGGGGATGAGATTGGATAATAAGAGTGTCTAGGATGGGCCGGTCAGCATGCACGAAACAGGCGTTATAGGTTGCTGCCACGCTCAGTCGTGAGCAGCAGAGGGCAGTGTGGTAAAAAAATATATATTAATACAGTATACGGTACTACGTGGCCACTTGTATTCTGCCCACTTGCACCAACCCATACTGACCTGTATGGTGAAATAAAAACTATATGACCCGCACGGCGTTGGCTTGCCCGTATCCAGCCAGGAGCGGATTGACGAATGGCCGTAACATGTACACAAGGCGATCAAAGTCATTGTTGTTAGAGGGCTGTGTCAAAATCATCTGTTTGAAGCAACTTGCTCCGCGCGATTTGGGATTTTTTTTTGGGTTGTGGAAAGGCTTTGATGAGATTCTAGAATAAAATGTGCTGCTCACAACCAAACGAGTTGGATGGACCCAATTGCCCCCTCTCGTGTGTAACCCTTGTTATTGTTACCTTATAGAGTCATCTACGAGGACTTTATAACTGTGTAGAGTTTCTGCATTTTTAGAAAAATATGATATGTACATATGCTCCATTTTGTTATTTGACTGAGGGTCGTTGGGGATTATTTGATGATACTTGACGCTGGTCAATGCCGAATGGTAAAGGTGGGAGCATAGATATTGCAGCATAATACTGTACAGTAGAGCAAAGCATTCTGCTGCAATTTACTCTGCTGACAACATAACCTCCGCAGGAGCCTGCACCTGTCAACAATCCAAGCATTATCAAGGTTGAATTCTGCTTAGCTTCTCAGGTTTGTTGAAATCAGGCATTGCAGGTGGTTTTGGCATTTGCCAACAATGTCATTTACTTGAAGGGTGGAGCAGTGGTGAGCACATGGCATTATTAAACCTGATGACTTGGGTTCTATTCCGAGCCATGACTTAACAGGGGCGAGTGATAACTGAACCATTCCTGGGAGCCCCTTCACCAACCTGCACGAACCAGCAGAGTGAAGTATTGTCCAGCAGTGATCACGACTGATGCTGTAGAGAAGCTTTCTTCTAGAAATGGATCAACAAAAGGCTGTACGTTTTTAAAATCCAATATTGAAGGTCTTACTTGAGTCCATTCAAGAGAGTCATCTTGCTTTCATATGTTTGGCCTATTCATATAAAGTAGTGTTTTGCAGGTGACAGTAAATTTAGATTACCAGGCGAAAACCAACACATAAAGGGATAACACTCAAAGGTCCACACAGATGCGTTCATGACCCCACTTGTTTTTTATGTTTTGATAGTTTTGCAATAACACAATCACGCAATGTCCTCTTCTTCATCTTGATGTACTTGGGTCCTTGACAACCACTGCATTGTAGATGTGCTTTGGAAATTGACAAATAATTACGGTAGTCGATGTTATAAAAGATTCGGCCTAAAAAAAGCCACAGTTACGTTGTGTCTTCAGTAAACACAAATGATCAAGCAATAAAAAACAGGTATCTTTTATATTTATGTAGACTCGTTTTATTACCAGGTCACCCAGAGTGTACTAGATCTCATCATATTTTCGAAATTTGGCAGTGTTGATGCTGGATAGTGCTTGGATGGGCAACTGGTCATGCATAACAAGCATGATAGGCTATGTGGCTACTTTGTAATGAGCCTAGAGCAGTATGGTTAATTTTTTGCGTCCATGCTATCAACTTCCACCAACCCACATTATCAACTAATCCTCATGACCCGCATGATGTCAGGAAATCCTTATCAAGCAGTGCGTTTACAAAGGGATGTATAGTATAGGTACATATTTGTGTATTTAATTATCACCTTCCAGGCAAACAAAATAGCTGCACCAATCCGAAATAGTTGAATGAAATGGCTGGGTGTGTACACAAATCTGTATAATCAATCCACATTGCTTAAAAATGCTTACCCAAGCCAAATTGCCACTTGTGCTGAGCGGGCTCACTGCTTTTGGCCAAACTGTCGCGAAGTATTACTTTGTAATAAGGACACATTGGTGTGCACAGCGAGGTGTACTGGGGACATAAAGGGATACGTGCATTATTAGGGCAGCTGTACAGTAATCACAGGTGATTAGTATCTTCCTACTTAATTATGGTTTACCAACATGGCCTTCCTGGCATGATTCTCAATGCCCCCTGTTTCGTAGTGACGAATTGGCACGTTCTGTTTACGTGACAACCCTTATTAGTTGGCTGTGTTGGGTGGTGGCGGGTTTTAACGACACGTATATTTATATATTTACGCGATTTAACCCAAAAAACCCTCTATTATGGATGATATTAGTCGCGAAAGCCTCCGTGTTAAACTCCTCGGTTGAGAAGCTCTGATATTTTTCTTTCTGTCATTACGGAAAATCCAGCCCACCTGTATTGGGCTGCCGGTTAACCCAGCGAAATGGCTGATCTTTGTTTCTTCCATGGGCATTAGCAGGATTGACAGTTAATAGGGGAGAGCACATAAAATGTTGAGTTCTGCAGTGCTATTTTTGAGCACGCCACGATTTCATGACCATGACTAACAATAGTCTCCCACTGGCTCTGCAGTTGGCAGTAGCAGTGCCAAAGAACGTTCACCAGAGAGAGAGAGCGCGGAAATTTTCTGCGTGCACTTTTTCCTCATTACGTTGTTTTGAGTCGCCAGGTGTGTAAATGTATCCACACGTGCATGCTAATCCAGAGCACAGTATGGTCCCACGGCCAAAAGGGATGATTACACTGGAAAATCTCGCTCCCTTGTGTACACAGCTCACAAACCAGCCTGTGCCCCCTGCCAGGACCAATTTTCAAATACTGTATAAAATTACCTCTTGAATTATACGACTTGTGCATTGTGTGATTATTTCACTCGCTCATATTAGTTGCTGCACTGCATACGCACGTACATATTTACGTGCAGAATTTGTTATTCGCGTAATATACTAATGTAAAATAACGCGTACTACTTTTAGCCACTTAGCACACGAATTAAAGTTAATTAAATACAACGAGTTGTTTCGCTATGCACTTAAGGTTAGAGCGAAACGTTCAATGCGTGTCAGCATTTAAAATGCAGAAAATAACCCTCATCACATGTCCTTTCTAGCTTGCAAGTAACTCGCCGACAAACAACAATTCTCCACAATGTACAATAAGTGGCTATAGTTAGGGATTAAACGCTACTACAGGAATTACCCTAATTCGTAAAAAACAAGTGACATGGTGCGCCTTTCAAAGTAAAAATGCATGAGGTTAGCCAGTGGCTTAGACAACAAGCAATTAATTAATCAGGGCCGGTGTTCTGATAGTCTTGTTTGCTTACGTAATGACCAATGCCTTATTGCTTGTGCCCTCCTGTTTTATACACAATTTCCAAATATTCCCCCCCCCCCAACTTTTCATAAAAGCTGACACCCAAAATAAACAAAGCCATTGGAATTAGCTTTGCCTGGAAGGGTAATGTATCAGCAAATATGATATTTGACCTATACTTGCCAATTTTGTGCAGACACATTGCAACATTGCAAACAGTTGAATGAGGTGCCTGCTCATGGAACCCTGTTTCTGGAAATGTTAAAACTCGTCCACTGTAAGATATCCCCATCACCCGGCAGTGTATGTCACTGTGTATGTCACTTTTAGAAGCCAGCAGGGTCACCTTTTCCCATCTGCACATCATCTGAGGGCTGCACTTCAAGAGTATGGCAGTGCATTGTTTTCCTGTTGTTTCAGCGACTGCCAGTGTTCAACATCATCAGCGTTTTGTTCCTTTTGGTATGCTGTCAGTGGGGAGTCCTTAATTTACATACTGACATGCTGCCGACTTATTCCTTGAATAGCTTTCCTCGTGCGTACTGGATGTGATTAAGAAAAACAAGAAAATACTGCAATAGTGCAGTTTATGCGCCTTACACGAATAACACAGCCTGGACATTTTCACTTTAAGCGGAGACTTTCTGTCTAGAAGTGAGATAAAATGACCGAACCATTGATATTGTACTTCATTCTAAGAAATATATATTTGAAAACGAGTTTTCTATCGTTTTCCTTGGTACAAATGTTTGTCCCTAGAACTTGCATGTAATTGTACAGTACCTTATACATGCTCATTTTACACACCCAGAGGAAAACATCACTCAGCAACTGTCCATGCGATACAGTATGTGCCGTTTTTTCACATTTATGCAATGTCATGCAAGGTAAAACACCCTAAAGAAATATTCGGCAAGGGTCAAAGCCTGGCAGGACCATTAATATTCAAGCCCTTGCATGCTAGCCCATGCACTTCTACATTCACTTTGCCTACATTTGTAATTATCTTACATTTGCCTTTGATGCCGTTAAGCTTGTGAAGTTCTATTTTCACAGACCGACACAATCATAAATTCAGCAGGTACACCAGGAGTGGTTTACGGTTTTGTTTTTTTTGCTGTATTTTACTCTGTGCTGTCAGTATTATATCATGAGGTCTTCGAATTGAATGTTTTCAGGAAGCGATCAAATAGAACTCTTTCAAAGATCCTTTTAAGGGACCTCATCCACACTAGTGGGTACACTTTCCCATGCCCCCCCCCCCCCTGCTGCGAAGAAATATTCATCGCATGGCATTCACGCTGAAATTTTAAATAATCACAGCTGCAATGTAGCCGAATGTATTGAAAAATCAATTCATGCTATCTTTTTGGCGCAATCATTGGTGATCAGGCTGAAAAAATCGATTGACTACGCTGAGAACCCAGTGTTTATTTTTAAATTACGGGCAAACGAAAACTAGGTTCTCGCTCAGGATCTCAGGGGTGCTGGATCAGTGCTGACCCATGAGCCACCTGGTATGTTTACACTTTAATAACATTTTAATATAATTTTATCTCAGTTTATCTTTCTACTTGAGGTTAAACTTGCAAGAGCACCTTGGTATATAAACAAAGAAGGCAGTTCTAGATAATGAAATCATACGCTTTGAGAACAATTACATTAATGCAGGTATGCAAAGTTTGCAGTTTAGGTTCAAAGCTGAGTTAAAAATGGGGGCTACTGTAAGTGCAGCCCATCAGCTAAATCGCCCCCGATTCACACATCCCCATTGGTATGTCACCTTTCAACCTTTGGCATCGTGTTGGCTAAAGTTTAGGGTTTAATATTAAATCCGTCCACGTGACAGAAGCCTTCTTTAAGCGCTGAAGGCCTGAGAAACACAGTGGTCGTGTTCTGTGTGCAGACTGTTGGTTCCCACAATCTGCCTAGCCTCCAAGTCCCTTTGTGTGGCTGAAACCGGAAGTGAAGGTAAGTACGCGGTAATGCTCATGCTCGCCTTTGTGGGAATTTTTTTCACGGTACTATATATTTTTTACCACATTAACCATGCCTTTTCTTTTGGTTCTTTCTCTTCAGTGGCATCCTGAAGAGAAGAAAACCACGAGTTGTGAGGGAGAGCAGATACCCTCACGGTACATATGGTTGCATATTCAAATCAAAGCATTTGTGTTTTGGTCATATCTCAATATTGTTTTAATTTTGTGTCAAGATAGCAGACATGAAACTTGAATTGTCTCCATATAGGAGATATTAAAACAACTAAAATGGTTATACACTTTCCAATTCTTATTGATAACAATCATTACTCGTTCTTCATACAATTATAACGATACTTAAGTATTTTGTAAATATTTACTCATTCATCATCCTTATCAAATGATGGTAACTATTTAGCAATACCACAGGACCTTTTTTTTACGTCTGATTTATTTACGTTATCATTACATGATTATTACAGTTGGCACCAGTTGAGTGTTATTAAAATCTCAGCGTGACTTTAATACACCCTGTAATTTTACATTCGTATAAGTTAATGAATGAAAAATATATTTAATAAGTTTGCCTATATTGAAGTTAGGTATGTAACAGTGCATTGATTCAGTGGTTAAAATAGATTTTCATGTTCATGATACACAATTTCGACGTGTATCATTTGATAATGATGTCATTTATATGCAAATTGCATGTTCAAGTTACAAAACTCAACAAACGAGAAAAAAAACACAACAAAAAACAATTAACAAGATTTTTAAAATGAAAAATCAATGAAACGTGACTCCCCCCCCACCCTCCCAAATTGAAGCAAATGTTACCAGATACCTGCTGGGGGAAGGGAATGAGTACATTGCTCTTGTAAATGTGTCATGGCAGAATCTACTTTGAGCCGTGACCTCAACTCAGTGTTATCAACAATATCTCCACCTGCATGTCGTGTGCGACCCTACCCGAGGCTGAAAACTCTCCCCCCCCTCCTTCCGTCCATGGCACGCCGCTGGTCCATGGCAGATGGCGTCGTCTCGCGCTGGGTGCACGAAACGGCACGATGTGGGCACGGACAAGCCAGACGACGTCGGCCTGGCGGAGCTGGGCCCGCTGCTGGTGACCACAGGGCAAGCCACGTGCTCTGTGAGTCCTGCGCGTGCCATCGCTCACGCCGTGCGTGGCTGGAGGGGTTCAGGTTCCAAGGTTTATTTGTGCGTTGGCGGTTGTCGCCAGTCAAGGTCGGCTGCCGTCATGCAACCCCGCACCTCTTGCATAACAGTGCCACAGCTTGTTTTTCTTTTGTCTGTTGTTTTCGCCTCGTGATGACACTTGCCTGTGGCTTTAATTTCAAGCCTACAAGTTCAAAATTGGCCACGAACGATGTTGATCCATCATTGGTCGCACGTAGACTGCACTAATTGAGTACTAGAAGATACTTTTTTAAAAATCTGACAACACTTAATATTGGACCACCAAAGGTATTTAGGAAGGTCTGCACTGCCTTCTGATAGGAAAGGTCTTCCCACCACTGCTGTAGCGGTACATGATCTTTTAATAATACATTTTTTTAAAATCTTGACTTAAAGCTTTCGTGACTGCAGGAATTCATCCTCTTTGGGTCTTTCGGTAAAGTCACGGAGATAGAAAAATAAAATAAAAAATCACGACGTTTTGATCACAACACAAGCAATCGTATTTCACCTGAGGACGATTGCTTGTGTTGCGATCGAAACGTCGTGATTTTATATTATTTTTCTATCTACGTGACTTTACCGAAAGACTCAAAGAGTATATAGAAAGGGTTTAGCAAAAGGGTTAATTTCAGACAGGTTTGAACCTAGTTAACACTTTGATAGGAATAACAGTTGTATGCTTGGGTTGCAAGGTCATCAGTGATAGTACTTAAGAAATGGACACTTGGATTTATCTGGGGCGATATCCTCAAGAGCATTTTTTGGGGAATTCGGTAAAAAAAAGATTTCAATATCAGCAATTGATGTGAATACATACAGACATTACATCACAAAGCAGTGTAAAGAGCCGCATGCGGGTCCAGAGCCGCTGGTTGCCGACGGCCGATATAGGGCTTTATAATTATTGATGTTATGATGACGTTTGTTGTTAAAGGTTAATTGAAAAGCCTTCGCTATGCACTCGTCTGTGTCATAGCTACCGTTAGTTTTTTGCTGCTGCCAACTCGGTTCACCATTCTGCTTCTGACCCATGCTCGTTTACATCTTTCTGGATTTTCGTACACTTTGTTAAAAGTTGGTGTTCCCCGTTGCTGTTGCAATTCATCATCACACACTTTACCGGTGATATTGCAACACATAACAGTTTTTTTGTACTTGTCTATTACACTGATGATGACAGGGACCCTGCTGAGGTTGAAATGTCTGCGAATAAAATATATTCTGGTATGTGTAAGCCCCTGCAGTGTTGGATGCAATTGTAGTGTATTTTTTGGAATAATAATTTCTGTCAGGATTTTTTGTAGTATAATGCCAGTGGGCTTTGTAAATGTTAAGGTTAATGCACCCCCAAAAGGATTTGGTCCAAACGCAGCACGTTCAGAGCAAGTCTAAAATTGGCATCTTTAATTTTCCTTATCATGTAATTGTTGACAGCCTTCAAAGGTTTTTCAGTCACTATATATTTCACAAGCATTAAAATTGCATTGCCTTTTTAGCCTAATTTCCTTGCGTGGTCTGTAAATATGACCTCATGAATTGGCGGCATTTATGCACACGTCTTATGGTGATTTATGATAAAATTGCTGGCAGGCCGTGGCTAACAATAAAACATTTTCTCGAGCACATTCACATATCGACTGGTGGTTACGGTAAACACTGGTCCTGAATTCAGGACTTGGCACTAAAGTGGCCATTGTGTTATCACCTAGCCATTAACCCAATTTCACCTCTTGGAGTTAGAATTATTTCCACCAGTGCATAATTACACCTTAGTTACTTCATCTATAGTTGGTTTTAGACAAGGAGCTATTTGGCTGAAAAACCTACAATTTTGCCTAGACTGCACTTTTGGCCATACGAGAGGTTGGATAAGCTAATTAATGCAATTCTGGACATGAGGGACATTCTTGTCTTTAATCTAGATTTGAAGTTTTCGTGACTGCAGGGATCCATACTCTGCTTGTTTTGGTAAAGTCACGTAGGTATAAAATCATATAATAAAATTAAATAAATTAAATCACTAGTCTTTCCCAAAATCTGCCGGCCATAGGGCTTTACTTCTGGAGCCACCGTGGTTTCTAGCCAACTTGATAATGTTGATGGCTGCGCCAGGATTTGACGACTTGTATGTCATGGTAAATTTCGAATGTCCTTGCGGATTCACATGAGCCGTGTTGTTGCTCAAAGTTAAGCTGAGATGCCTAGAAAATTGTTCGGTGAACATTTATTATTCGTCAAATACTTTAGTGTGATACACATCCGAGCAAAGCTTGTACCATTTATCCTTGTAAAAGGGATGATCAGGGACGACCATTTGCTGTAAGGCTGCCTACTGCCTTCGACTCCACCCTGGAGGCTTCTGATTCACTGTGCAGTGAAACAGCCATTTCTAAATGTGTCAGCTGAGTGTGCTGAATTTGGTGAACAATTGCAAAAAGATCCAATTTAATCCCCTCCACTAGTGGTGTTGTCTTATCATATACTGAAAGCAGGTGGAATTGATCATTCAAGCCAGAAATGTTTTGCACGTCAGGTAGCTCGTCGTGCCAATACCACCATATCAAAGCACTGAACCACTTCCACTGAGATTCTGGGTGGGAATATGTGCAACAATATATGATTAAACAAGGTTCACAAGTGGAATCTGTGCTTGAAAATATGCGGGAAAGTGGAATTCGCTAATTCACTACTGTTCGGCACAAGTACCCCTCATCCATGATGCAATGTTTCCAAATTGCAAATAGTCAAAGAAAAAGGTGCAAAAAGTTAAGCCGAATAATCACATTTGCAAAAGAAAAATCTGGGAATGAATAATTTTTACTGTACTTAACTTAGTTTTATCCGAGTTTGGTTTATCCCAGCACTCAGAATTAAAAACATTGCTTTGATTTGACATGCAACAAATGCTCCTCCTTTCATATAAAACGTGTACCCCTAGCATACCTCGAGTGTAGGATGAGGGCGAATTTTTGATACAAGGTAGTGCACTGATAGCTGTGAGCTTCCAATGGAAACGTCTAACAGCACACATGGAATGTCAGTCATTTGTCTTGCGGGTAGATCATAAGATATTTGCCCACAGTTTCTGGGTGTCGTGTCCCAGCACAGCATATATCTGTGTAGGTTAGTGCCAGTTTCCCTCTGTTTCTCTTCCCACGTGACAGCCTCCACATTAGCAATTTTATGACTTTTCATCATGCCTTCTACAGTACTGCACAGTGAACCTGAGCCTCTTGTTCTCCAGTCTCTTAGTCAGTCGTCAGTCTTGATGTGGTTGTTCTAGATGATGTTTGGTGCAACCCGGAGTGAGCCTGTTTTAAGCTGTGTTCCTGGGCAGCTGTAAATTGCCTTTGCTTCCAACTTAGAGAATTGCAACAGCAACCCCATCGTCAGCCATGATCAATCCACTGCTGGTTTCAGGCCATCTAAGGCCGCCACCATCCCCCGTGGTCCCTCAGCACAACAATCCATCTTGCACCCTGCGGGTGGACATGCTCTTGGGCATGTTCCCCACCTTGGCCACCACACCGTCATTAGTCTCAACCACCAGCCTTCGTCCTTGCTGGCGATGTGTCCTACTGATGCCTTCTTACTTTACCTAACCGTCAATATGTTGTGCTGTCCTGTGCAGGTGCGGGAAGTGGACCAGGTCCATGCGGACAGAGAGAGGGATGAGGATGGCCCTGAGCCCCTGAGGGTCATTACGCTGCCGCTTCAAGCCCACCACGCCATGGAGAAGATGGAGGAGTTTGTTTGCAAGGTTGACCAATGTAGCTGCATCATATTCATCACGCCCGGGGGCGTCCTACTGACCCTGTAGCCCAGGGACAGGTCTCGCCATTTCTGACTAAGTTTTCTTTGAGCTTGCACCTCAGTTTTAATGTTGACTGTTGCCGCGGTGGCGAGATGTTAACTGCCTTTCCTGGTATACAGGAGGTCGTTGATTCGATCCTGACCCTGATGCCTGTATGTTTGGAATTTGCATGTTCTTCCCGTGGTCGCGTGGATTATTCTCTGCGTCCTCCGGTTTTTCCCTCCACATTTAGAAACATGCATTTCGAGTATTTGTCTGCTTTAAATTTCCACATGATAAGCCACTTCTTTGAGTTATAATTTGTACCAGGTTGCTTCTGAAAAAGAGCTACATAGTTCAGTGGGCATTACCTGGAATTAAAATGACCAAATTGAACAAAAATGTACTGTCTGAAATTTGTGGTGTAAGAAGTGGGTTTTTTGACATTGGAAAAGTCAATTTACCATGCTGCACATTCATTCTTTATTTAATGCAAGTGTTATTCCTCATAGCTCCAGAGCTTGTAATGATTAATATTATGTTCACAGTCATAATATTTATTGAAAATATCAATACCACATTCATAGTTATTATTTGATTTCCTTTTAAGTTTCGTGTTCATCAAACATAAAACTGTACGCCTACATTTTTTTAACCGCTGCCCTTTTTTCTCAAAACTGATTGGTTTTGAATAAAATGTCAAATCTCGTGGAAAAAAGTGCAGTTTTACAGAATATACCGGTATCAGGTTTATGGCTCAGGCAGACCAAGGCTGCATTGTAGAGTGTTCTGGGTTCACAGTCACATTCTTGGTTGGCTGTGTGCGGCGGTGAATTGTGACTGTCAATGGACACCCAAGTTCAGCTCACACGGTCTGCGCAGCATCGTCCAACATAACAATGCTGCTCGTACAGTTAGTGGGTCTGTGTTTACAGGATGCTTTTGTCGACGGTGTTATTGACTGTTGGGAAGATTCATATTTGTACGCTCACTGCAAATGTAAGGAAGCATTCCATCCATAATTATACAAAATTCTCACAATTTCAGAGCCACATTTCGGTTCATGAATCTATTCGCTTTTGGTAAATATATGATTTGTAGTGGTATAAATTTGTGTATGTGTACAGCTCTTTGACAATCCACTGCTAAATTATGGCACTCACGCTGCCGTGTGTGTTATGTAAGTTTTTTTTTTTACCCTACTTCAGACTCAACTGTGTGGGTTGGTAAAGGTGGGGAACATAGATGTGAAGCATAGAAAATAAGTGTATTTTTCTGCAGTGTCCTCTTGTGCATTAAGTTTCCCAACACATACGAATGAGAAATATCACACGTAGTTTGAAGCATGTATGTTGAGCGTAACACTTTTTGCTTCTGTTAAATGTTTAATGAATCCCCACCGCTAATCCGTTCAACACTATGTTATTACTTGCTTATATAACGAAGCAATCCATGCCTGGGTTAGGTAAGTGCCCCGGTTAAGCCATAGAATTTCACTGGGAACCCACGTATCTGAACCCACCGCAAAGTGAGAAACACATTCTGCGCCAATAGCCTGAGGGCGTGCATGCTAACCAGAAATCCTCTTGTGTCTTGATTTCGGTCGCCAAACCTGCTCCGTTGCCTCGCGCGCTCGTGGCAGTGATGTGAAATAACACAGCTGCCTGCGATCGGCGTGCGCACGGAAGTTCAGTGGCAGTCGGATGCGTGAACTCACGCCGGTGTTTTTATCACGTCGCGCAGGTGTGGCAGGGCCGCTGGCGAGTGATCCCGCACGATGTGCTGCCCAGCTGGCTGCAGGACAACGAGTTCCTGCTGCAGGGGCACCGTCCCCCCATGCCGTCGTTCCGCGCCTGCTTCCGCAGCATCTTTCGTCTCCACACGGAGACCGGCAACATATGGACGCATCTAATAGGTTCGCCGTGTTTGCACATTGTTAAATCTGTTCCTTCCGTTTTGTGATGACAGTTGCGGAAGAGCTAATTGTGTTCAGGTGTTCGTTTGGTACGCATCCATCATCCGAGCCATTGGCCATGATCTATCCCCTGCTGGATGCAGGCATCCCTAGGCCGTGGCCATCTCTCACGGTCATGCAATGTAACAATCCGTCTAGCGCCTGCACGCGAACAGATTTCATAGCTCCATCGCCATGGTGGACATCCGCTCAGGCACGTGTCCTCCTTTGACTTTCACACTGTTATCAACGTCTTACTATCTTTCCCCCAATTGGATGCACGTTGAACTCTAGATATTTCTTGCGCTGCTCTGGGAGCAGTAGTGTTTTTTATTTGTGAAGTGTATATGCAAAGTGTTTCCCATGAAAATAACTTGAAGCACTTGAATATACTCTTGCTAGTTTTCTGCAGCCTGTGTGCATAGTTTGTGAAATAATATTGATCCTTATTGCATTGTTTCACATTGTGTCTGTAATGAAACATCACAATTGGCATAGAATTGCTTTGTTTTTAGATTTGAGTTCAATCAATCTAAGGCAATATTAGTGAGCATTCATTCAACTTCAGCCTTTACCCAACTTTTATTCTACCTAGCATTCACTCAATTAGAGTTTTGCTCTGCTGTTCGTCACTATTTGACAATTGCAAATGTTTTTAATTGTTTGAAACTATTACTTGATACTCATAACCGTCCTATTTTCAAATGGTGTTTTCTGCCTTGTTGTTCTTTACATATTGCAAAATGCTGTTTTGCCTTACTAATTTAAAGAGGAATATACTTCTAGACTCAATGGGTGATTACCTGGTTAAAAAAACAAAGCATATCCATTTATGTCTCATCTAATTTTAGCTTGCGTTTCTGCTTTTTTGTGGCGCAGGCTTTTTCCTATTTGTCGTCCTGGCCGTCATATATCTGTTCCGGCCAAACATGAACTTCGTAGCTCCTCTGCAGGAAAAGGTTGTGTTTGGCGTTTTCTTCATGGGCGCTATCCTCTGCCTGTGCTTCTCCTGGCTCTTCCACACCGTCTACTGTCATTCCGAGAAGGTCTCCCGCACCTTCTCCAAGTAAGTTCACGAGCCACACTCGACCGGCAGGGCGCCGTCGGGTGCATTAAGTTATGTCGTTTGCTTTGGGAAATCACGCAGTCGGCTTGGGTGGCACAGAATGTTTCTTGTTCATTTCCTGTGTCAATATCAACACTGCATACAAAGTAAGTTTACAACACGATCGTATATTCCAGGATGTGCATTGGTCAAACAGGAGTTTTTAAAAGTTTAGAAATCAGTGAGCTATTGTATTAAGCTGATATTAAATTTCGATTTAAAGCTTTTGTGACTGCAGGGATTCATCTTCTTGGTTCTTTCATCTTCTTGGTTCTTTCGGTCTGTCGAGGCGACACTTGTCGCCTCGACAGACCTGGTTTTCACCTGAGGACGGCTGCTTGCGTTGTGGCCGAAACGTCGTGAGAATTGTTTTATTATGTTTTATTTTTATTATTTTATTACTTCCCTTCTACGTGACTTTACCGAAAGAACCAAGAAGCTGATATTACTTATTTGTTTTGTTTTTCAATACCCATCGAGTAGCACTTGGGTAAAGTCTTGCTCCCAAAAGATGCTCTATAAGTAACGATGGTGTCGCAATTGAGAAAACTACTCTTATATTACAATTTGGATTTACAGAACATGCTTTTAGAGTGTTATAGTGGCTGGTGCACTGGGCTGTAAATCCAGTGACCTGAGTTTGGCCACACAAGCTGACGTTAGTGACAGGATATCTCTTAGCCGGTCCTGGCTGCCACCTTTCAACCATCCTCACCGAACTGGCACGGTGATTTGCCTTAATTTTGGAGCTTTCGTGACTGCAGGAATTATTCTTTGGTTATTTTGGTAAAGTCACGTATAAAGATTAAATAATAGCATACGACGTTTCGATTGCTACACAAGCAATCATCATCAGGTATAATGAAATAGCGACATAAAATCTAACCAGAAAACTATAGAAAGACATATAAGCAGACAGATATCACCAAGATACATAGAGCGAGCAACACAGGTATCTTGGTGATATCTGTCTGCTTATATGTCTGTCTATAGTTTTCTGGTTAGATTTTATGTCGCTATTTCATTATACCTGATGATGATTGCTTGTGTTGCAATCGAAACGTCGTATGCAATTATTTAATTTATTATTTTATCTTTATACGTGACTTTACCGAAAGAACCAAAGAATGGTGATTTGCCTTCAAACGTTTCCCATGACTCAAATGCGTGGGAAGGTCTTCATCCAGCAGTGATTTGTATCCAGTGATGAAAGGGAGATGATTGTATGTTAAAGCTGAGATTCATATCGTTCATTGAGTCATAGGCAACATTTGACAAGCTGCTGTTTAAAAATATCCAGCGCCTAATGCCATCTCATGGTTCCCTTTTGCCACTACACAATTGTTTTACAAATGTGCCAGTCACAGGAAATTGTTCTGGATTATCGCGTACCTTATTTACCACTCTAATTCCTTGGGCCTTTCTGTCTTATGATTAAGGGCCATTCCCCAAAACGTCATATATCTGTTTTTTTAAGCCGATGCTATTGACGAATGTGTTGCCTACACTGCTGTCTCTTCATACAAATCATTTTAAACATCCACCATATATCTAAAGGTCCTACTAATTCCACAAATTTGCAGCTGCAACCTCAGAAGTTGCCTCCTTGTTGTAAAAAATACCAGCTATTAAAACGAGGTTTAGCAATATCTCTGTCCACGCTGCTGCCCCATGTTACCGGAATGTTAGTGGAATGCTCGTCTGCTGTTACTTTTCACCTTCTCATGATGGTTATTTTGTTCGCTCAATCCATTTCGCTTTGCCTCGCGCTCACCTCTTTAACCAGAATATGGCAGTTTATTTTAGAATATGCCAGTTTATTTTGTTCATATTGTTCGTCTTTGTTCATTGAGCACAATTTTTTGCCTGCACCTCTGACGCACTCTGTTCCATTGCTGCCTGCTTTGCTGTACGATCTCACTTTGATGATGATGTTATTGTTGTTCCTAATCTGTGCTGACGCACGACAGTGTATCTTTTGCGAACTGGCAGGGCAACTGGCCAAACGTGACTTTCTTCATCATAACAAATATAAACGTTGATTGATTGCTATCGTAGATTGGACTACTCGGGCATCGCTCTGCTCATAATGGGCAGCTTCGTGCCATGGCTCTACTACTCCTTCTACTGCAACCCGCAGCCACGACTCATCTACCTGGTGACCATCTGCGTGCTCGGCATAGCGGCCATCGTTGTGTCTCAGTGGGAGCGCTTCTCTACGCCGCAGTATCGCGTGCTCCGTGCAGGTATGTGCAATTGTGGATTGTGTCTTAGCTATTCGATCCCAATCCTCCATTCACACATTGCCTAAAAATATACGGTTTATATCAAACAGATGGTCGTGACCCCCAGTTTTTGCATCGCAAGCACATCTAGTTTTTGAAAAATCGTAATTTTTTAAGATTCCAGTTTCAACACAGAAGGGAAGATTGCCGTGAGACACCGCCACATACTGGAACATAACCCCCCTGCGTTTGATGAGGTATTATTGTCCTGTGCTGTTGTCTACCTTATTCAATCTGCACTTAGGAGTATAGTGAAGCATGGTCAAATAGCCCACATCCATGACTCAACGCATAGGGAGTCCGTCACACAGTAGTGGATTGACAGAGGTTGTACATGTACCAAGCATCTTCAAATAATTTTCAAGATTTTGCACAAAGCATCCGTATTAATTATAGTTGACACAAGCAAAACGAATTAAGTAAAAGTACAATTGAAATAAGAAAACATAAAATAAAAAACCCCAAACTTGTCAGCGGTGCAAACACCATCCTCGGCCTACCAGCCTGATAGTTTTGTTCATCCACGCTTTCTTCAACCACCACACTGCAGCCTAAAGCACTTCTCTTTCTGCTTGTTTCCTCGTACTGCTCGACTTGGGAGTTCCCTCCCACGTCTCTATCCCTAAGCTCTTTCCAACCTCTCTCAATTCAAGAAACGTATCGACTCTTTTCTAGTACACATTACATTGTGCTGTAGGTTGTTAGCTGCTCGGATTTTGGGCCTTTGGGTCTGTGCTCGGCAACCGTGGTAAAACAAAAACAACTACACCCAGCTTAAATATATGCTGCCAAGCTTGGTGGTGTTCATTCAGACGCTGTCTTTCCGACAGCCCTGTTCTTCACCTGAGGACGGCGGCTTGCGTTGTGGCCGAAACGTCGTGAGAATTGTATTTTATTATGTTTTTTTTCCCTTCTACGTGACTTTACCGAAAGAACCAAGAAGATGAACTACACCCTATCAATGTGCATTGCCCGCCGCTTGTATTCCACGCAGCTGTATTCCTGAGCTTGGGCTTCAGTGGGATTGTGCCAACCGTGCACTTCATGGTGGTGGAGGGCTTCATGAGGGCGACGACGGCCGGGCAGACAGGCTGGCTCTTCCTCATGGGGCTCCTGTACAGCATGGGCGCCGCGCTGTATGCTGCACGCATCCCCGAGAGGTTCTTCCCGGGCATGTGCGACATCTGGGTAATTATTCAAATCGCACTAAATGAGCCACAGGTTGCAGTCGCACCTGCCGCCTAGGTGTGGTTTTCAGCCACTTGTGATGTGGTCGGTGGATGGCGTGTTCTGCTGCAGCTGATGCTGCAGCTGCTGTTGCTGCAGCTCTTGAATGACGTTGTAGACTTTGTGTGTTGAAGCACATAATTGTGGCTCTGTGACCCACTTTAAAGCCTGACTTGTTGTAGCTTTGATAGGGTTGCTTTGAACTTTTTAATACACACTTGCGCGTGTGTTACGCAGTGTGGTTTTTTTTCGTATAACCGTTGCCTCAATCCAACCGGCGATTAAGTGGTCGTGATGCACTTGGTCACAATGGAGTGTCTGTGTGTGGTATAAATGAAATGTTCAAATGCACCTTACATTATTTAAAGTCTTTTAATTCTGTGTATAACTCAAGAACTAAAAGTGGAGGATGAGAAATAAACAAATTTGCCAAAAAAACTTTTATAATAAAATGTATTTATTGAGACATTGCAAACCTTTAACACGTAGGCTTTCGCAACCAATATCATCCATAATAGAGGTTTTTTGGGTTGGATCGCGTAAGTATTTAAATGTATCGTTAAAACCCGCCACCACCCAACACAACCAACTAATAAGGGTTGTAACGTAAACATGGCATGTTCTGTTTATGTGACAACCCTTACTAGTTGGCTGTTTCGGGTGGTGGCGACGGGATTTAACGACATATATTTACGCGATCTAACCCAAAAAAATCTCTTTTGGATTGCAAACCTTATCGAACAGGCAACATGTTAAATGTAGCAATTGATTAGTTGTGAATGCACCTATTGACAGATGGCTCATTCATAGGATCAAGAAAACGAGTGAACATGATCCAATATATATAAAGTATAATATAAAGCGGCCAAATTAATGAAATGGTTGCCCAAAACTTGGTGGAAAAAAAGTGCGAAATGCATACGTATTTTTTGGCCAAGATCATGATGTTACACACGTACGTGCCCTAGCCATCATTGTTTTACATCGTCTCGTTTTGCCGCTCAGAACATAGTGCTATTATCAAGGAAAAACCTCTTGAGAACAAATGCACATTGCACAGTTACATAATCCATGCATGTGCACGATTGTTCTCGCGAATTTTAAAAGGGAAGTCCTCTACATGGCATCACCTGATGTAGCCCCTTTCACCCCACGTCTCTCTGCAGTTCCACTCGCACCAGATCTTCCACGTACTGGTGGTGGCTGCGGCGTGCGTTCACTTCCACGGCGTGTCGAAGCTGCAGGAGTTCCGTTACAGTGTGGGAGGAGGCTGCACGTCCGACACTCTCCTGTGAGTCACGCCTGGAGGCGTGCCACTCCGACCCAGCTCGGTGTAAATTCCCCGCGAGAGGCAAGCGGCTGGCGCACGCGCGCGCTCCGTTCTGTGTGATGACTCTGAGCAGAGCTGTAGGGGTTTGCCTGTTCCCGCTAGGACCTCAATTGGCGAGCGTTGAAGCAATGCATCCAGGGAATATTTGGGCATCGTATTCGATCGGAAAGTTATTTTTGGCAATACTTGATGACAAAAGCCACACAAAAGATATGAAAACTGCACAAATGTTTAATGTCACTTTATATAAGGTTACATGGGGAGTATGCAGACATGAATACAAATAAAATGATGCCCATATGTGTCCCCTGGTTTATTTTACATTCGCGAGGGGGCTTGCTTTAAGGTTTATTTTTCAAGTGATGGGCCCTGCTTTTGACACACCTTGCCTCTATTTGTTGATGGCAATGTGGCAGGAAAGTCCCTGTTCACTTACTACTGTTTGGGAGCACAGGTTTACACAGAAGGCCTCTGGCACCCAGACATAGTCCTGCTCTCCATCTCCACCAGACTCCAGTTAACAATAACCCAGTTTACATATTAGAAATTAGTGTGCATACAAGTTGGCTTGCAAATTTGACCCTTGTAATGCTGGCTTTTTGTCGAGCCGCCTCAGTGGAGACATGCTCTATGATAAAGCTGCTGAGCATGCTGTGGGCTGACATACTCGCCCAGCCACTTGCCTTCGCGTCGAGTTTTATCGTCAATTATTACTGTCCCCCTATGCACCCATTTGCTGTTAATATGTGCAATCACGTTTACCCAAATGTTAAAGGTCTATTCAGTGATACGATCCGAAAACAGGGATATCGTGTATCGACTAAATACAAAAATAATATTTTATATATAAAAGTTAAATGTTCAAAAAAGGTTTCATTATGATGTAACTCAAATTATGTAAGCGTGATAACTTTTTTTAAAACAAAAACTGAAATGATAAAAAAGTAAGATCTACAGTTCAACATTTTATTAGCAAGCAATAACAGTACTTACACAATTTTTACCATTAGTCATGGATGTTTTTTCTGTTAAAATTTCGGCTTAGAAGCATTGAAGAGTGCATTTCTCCTTTTGAAATGGGATGTATTTTTGATGCCGTATCACTGATAGCACCAGTAATGTTTGTGGGAAGCTTGAATATACGCGGTGTCTGATGTGCCCTCACACTGGTTTCAAACTTGACAAAGGCCATGCCCGAAGACCTGGCCATGTGAATAGAGTGATGCCGACACAAACCGGCTTTTATTGCTGCTTGCGATCATGGTGCTCAAGAAATGTCCTCGTCAACGTTATGAGTAACACTTGCCACCGGAGACACATTGCACGCGCCACCATGTCCTTTTATGGTCAGATAATTTAACCCTGCCACAGTGCACCTGCATTGAACATAACGGAACCGTTCTTCGACTGCTTTTACATTGAATACATGTCTCATTTGCGAGATAATCTTAGGCGCAGCATTTCTGTCCACAATACACCTGCTCAAACACGTCTTACTTGGAACAAAAACTAAAAGTTGTGCGTGCGAGCATTTATATATGTCAACGTTGCATTTGCCTTGCTAGCTTATGCAACCGTGATGTCCCTTGTGATACCAACAAATGTCCTTGAGTAAACATACTTAAAAAATAAACAAACACTGAGATTAGCATTTGTCAAAGGGCAGCTGATGACCTTTCCACATCGCACAGTCTTGTGCCACTTAATTGGTGCCCCGCTCACATACTAGTCAGAGGAGAGTGCTCCCCCTTGACATCGGAGTTTTGTGGCCTCATGCTGTGCCACTCTGGTCACATGGTTGCATGTGGGAAAATCTGATGGGTCTGCGTCCCCAGCACGACGGGCTTATTGAAGGGTGCCTACGTTCGGTGAGTAGTCGTGAACGAATCGTGAGCGAGGGTTTACACAGCTTGGCCCATTCACCGGCTCTGCCATCCTCACAGCTGCCCGCCTGTAGTAATACGCTTTTTGGACAAATCTAGACGTGCAAAGTTCAAGTGCGAGTTTCTTGCATGATCTTTTTCTCAGGGTTAAAAAAGGTAGACATCCATTTGTTTTTGATAGGCTTATTCACATCCATCAAGCTCTCTGCTTTGCTCTGTGCAGCTGCTTGCAGTGCCATTCTGCTTGCCATTTTGTTTCTCTCAAGAACGGACACATGTTTTTATCAACTCGCAATGACGAACACAACAGAGGGTGAACAAACTCGCACGCGGGGAAACGTGAACGGAAGCCGCGCCCACTGGGTTAGTCTCCCCCTTAACGGGGGCCAATTGGGGTCCATCGGGTTATTTTCCCTACAAACGGCAGTAGGGTCAGAGATCGGGAGAGGGAGACGCAATAACTAGATTTTAAAGTGTGCGGCATGCGTGGCACAAGTCCTTTTCACTCAGTCGCTCAGCACCTCTTCCTCTGCATGCCGGCATCAGCTTAGCCATGCAAACGTCTGTCACTTCCTTTTCCCCCCTCTTGCTCCAGTGCTTTGACGTGGAAAGGAAAATTGGGGCCGACTCATCTCTCCTATCTATACCTTAGGCCTAAAATGAAAGCGTATCTCATCAAAAGCTGTTGTCACGTCGCACATAACTCCGAACACTGTCTTAGCATCGCCCTTTGAATGCTTTCTGTCATTTTCCAACTTCAAGAGCCAATAGGAAGCAGCCATCACGGCGCCATGGTTTGCTTGCAAAGCCCGTCCACGGCACAGGGCGCACACCCATGTGGCGCTCGTAAACAGCTTTTCCAAGCTTCCGCGTACGTCACCACGCCGTCGTATGATAGCACTTAACTCCACGCCGCACCTTTACCCCTGCTGTCGCAGCTGAAGTGCAAAGCTAATGGATTATTCGTTAAGTCTCCCTTTAATTGCAGCCAGACAAAATCAGTCATTGCAAACAAACATGACTGACACACATCCCGACTGCATGTAAATCTTACTTTTCTTCCCCAGTGGTATTGCACGGGTTTAACTGTCACACATTGCTCAAAGTTACCATACAGATTGTGTACTGGGGTAAACGTTTCAAGTGATTTATCAAGAAATATACATAGTGTGTACTGGATTGTTTTTACATTACATTTTAGTGCTATCAACAGGGTACAACCATGCTTACCCTGAGATGTTACCTCTGCTGCATTATTTGAACTCTCCAATGAAGGGCCTATTAATAGGAAGCTGAAATGGTCAGCACGCATTTTCATCTTTCAAGTTCTCCAATATACGTGTTTTGTAGATTAAATCTTTAAAGATTACCTATTCGCTGCCCACTTCCAAACAGATTTCAATGTCTGAGTTGCAGCATGGCATTTATTTAACGTTGGGGCATGGGCTCTTGTTGTAATTTCACAGCTGCTGTTGCTTCTGATTGAAGCACTGTGTTGGCGGTAAGGCACCCTGGGGGTACTGTTTCATATGGCTTTGCCTAGCAGTGTGGCATTTTTCCATGGAATAATGAAATGTGCCTCAGGGACGTTCATGGATGCCGTGGTTGGTATTGGCAAAGGTGTCTGGCAGCCATGCTGCTGTTCTCGCCTGGTACGATGCATAGGTAATGGCAGCAAGTCCTTGCCTTCCCCATCGGCACAACGCGTTCAGGACGGTCAGAATGGGATTTGGCAGCCTCAATTACAACTCGTGCTTGAAAATAGCAGCCGCCTGCCAATCGTCATGCCCAATTATCTTGAGCAATGCATCACACAGCAGGCAGTTGTCAAGAGAACGCTTCCAAGCAAGTCCCTATTTAGACTGCCTTTCTCATCCAGCAGCATGTTTGCTTTGCTTACGCCCTGGCATGCACAACAAAAACGCCAGTGTCTGCTGGCTGCCCCCAATCATCAGTTCCCATTGCTGCCGGCGACTGGAGCATTGAAGCTTGCGCACGCAACTGCATGCGTGCGCCCGACTTTCATCCTGTGCCGCACTGCCGGGGTCACGTGAGAAAGCAGCCTGCTGGGCAGCGATTCTTCCTCCTAACACAAGTCCAACGCAGTGGCCGAATGCAGGACAGGTGGAGGGGGGGGGGGAGCGGGGTTCGTTTAAAAAAAAGTAGGCACGCCGCGAGCCACTCCCTTGGCGGGCGTCCGTTGGAGAGCCGCCGGGACGTCTGAGATGAGACACGTGGGATGATGAAGGTGCACTCAGTGATGCAGATCAGGGAGCAAGCTTTGTTTTGAGTCTCCGATGCGCTACGTTTGTCTGAAAGTCTCCATTGTCGCGAAACCGTTTAGAGCAACGTTTATTCTTGTGGTGCTGAATGAAACTTCTTACGTGCTTTTGGCAAGTACCATTAGGGTCTGCCGATTTAACGTTCATCGTCTCGCAAACAACAAACATCGCAATTGTGATGAATGAACATTGAACACTATTATCGCGAAATCCAAAGTTAATTTGAACCTATACTTTGTGGTGCAGCCTTTGAGTAGTGGACCTGTTGTAGATGTTGTCAAAACTATGGAGATTTTTTAATTTTTTTCCCAGCATAATTGTGTCGTTATATTGCAAAAAAGCTTTGTAAATAAATATATTTTTAGACTGCATTTGAAGAAAGTTGGTATCACAGAGTGCACCTCTTTAGCGGAAGAGTGATGGTCATTTGTCTGCACGTTGTGGAAATGTTGACACTGTACTGAAAGCCACCATGACGTTAACGCACAAGCCGTGCCTTTCAGGACTCTAACCAATTCATCCAACCCATCTGGTGCTGTCGATCAGCTAATTGGTTCCCAGACGGCAAGGCGAAAGCTTAACGCTCAGGTGGAGAAGAATAAAGAGCTCTAGCCACTCAACTTCATCTAAATATCATTCAGGCCAGAGCACCACACTGCCTTAATGTTATGGCTGGAACAGTATGGGAAGTGATTCCCAGTGCTTCTCTAATAATTTTTGTTTTGTCCCAAGAAAAGAGCATTTCCAGCCCCTCCAAAGCTTTTAAAACAAAATTGGGTTTCTGATGTTACAGCAAATGTTACAGCAAAGAAAATTTGCACTAATATGCGTATATCCTTGCCGAAGCTTACTTATGTTTGTCATGTGTAAATGTGATGAAGAGTCTTGGCTGTTTATGTTTTAACTTCGTGTCTCGTTTGGTTTTTCCCCTTTAGTTTAATTCTGAATTAACCATCTTCGACACTGTATAATTTGCATGCTAATCTTAACTGTTATTTTGTCATATTGCATTTACTATAGTTTCTATTTTTTGCCAATGACATGCTTGCCGTATTTAAAACAATGAAATATATAGTGTGTTGGCATTTATATCTTGTTTCATGTGTTTTAAGCACCTGTAAATTAGCCTGTTGGCCTGTCTACTTCATGACCTTTTTCCATGTTGTACATTGAATATTTTCAATAAAGAATAGTACTGTAATAAAGGATGGAGAAAACAAACCATTTAAACTTTTGTTGAAACTTTATGCAACATTGTGCACCTATTCAGGGTTGGGTAATATTTTCTTACCTGCATATTTTTTTTGCAAAACTCCTTTATTCCAAGAAAAAAAATCGACGGTTGTATAATGCCAGTAAATGTCATGCAAATAACGTTTTTACTTGTAAAATTATTACAAAAAGGGAATATGTACAATAAATAAAAATCTTAGCTGGGATGAAACGTATAATATTTGGGGGCAACAGTGCGTTCCGCATGTCTCAATGTTACAGGGTGGACGGCAAGTCCCTATACTCTGTAAATATAAATATATTCACAATTGCTAGTAAGAGAATGGTGTAGCGATTTTTTTTGCCCACTTTGTGACTCGCGATTAACCACTAATTTAGCCCATTAGGGCAGTCAGTGACTCCAAGATGAAGCCCCTCCCCCAACTCCCACTTGCTGTGTCAGATGCACGGGTTCTTCGACCATACTTCGACACGCTGGTCAGTGTGGGTTTGTGAAGTGGTTGCCCGTGACCGGTTTGGCTATCGCTCGCCTCTTGGATGTTTGCCCATGGCCAGGCACTGACAAGTGAATGAGATCTGCATGTCTATGACCAAGAAGCTACCAAGTTCAAGAATCGTTTTATTTTGATGCTTACCCACCTGAATGCTTTTGAGTCTCAACGGTAGGACCACACCAAACAATGCCACAGATTAACAATTCAGCACATTACATGCACTTTTCACAAGGCAACAATACAGACGGTTGACTTACAGCATGCATGTGTGTTAAATATTCAAAAATATATTTAACGGCCTTTTGTCAATTTACTGCCAGATGAAGGCCTGCCCATGCTCTTTTAGTCATGGGGATTGACCGTAAGGTCCCACGCTCGTCAATGCGGGTTTGTATGAAGGGGTGGCTCTGAAAATGTTCAGCTATCACGTGCCACCGATTTCACCCATGGCTGGGAATCGAACTTTGGTCACATGATTGTTAATGTAATGCGCGAACCGCTGTGCCACCGCTCCTGCCCCACTTGTATATTACAGCAAAACACTTATACCACTATACAGGTAAAACTTTTAACAGTGGATTGGGATAATCTGAGACAAAAAAGGACAACTGCAAAGTTTCATTGGAACACTTCAGGTCAACACTGACCCTGATCTTGAACTGTGTCTTGGAAATCCGACGGAGCATCTGAGAAAGAGCTTTGCAGCTCATCGGATTCTTCGAGTATAAATATTCTGATTCTGGAATCTGTCATGCTGAACTGACAAAAAAGGGACGTAGTGCGTGCGTGTGTTGATTTTGATACACTGAGCGAAAAGGACAAAGATCCTTTTTATTGGAGCCTGCTCGCAAGTGTTGGCAGGTTTAACCCAACAACCCAGGCAGTTGGGAATGGAATGTTTGGCATGCTCACCTTCAAGTTATGTCCCCCCCCTCTCTCCCCAACTAGAACTGTCTGCTTCACATTTGTCTCTCAACGGAGGCATCCTTTGAGATAGCGGTGGTAAGGACTTTTTTTTATTTATTTCGTCGAGTAGGATGCGTAAAAAAAAAGGTTTGGAGATAGCATTACAAAATGAAGCTGACGAGTGTAAAAAATATATATATCGTCTGCTGGTCCCATGGGAATGTGTTTTACTGTTGGGAGGAGTACAAAGTGAATCCTTGGACGAGTCGCGGCCCCAATTGGTGAAAGCGCTGAGAGATGTGTGATGCTCGCTGGGCGCGGATGCACATCCCCCCATGAACCGTACTCTTGCCAGAGAATCCAGGGGCGAGACGAAACGAGACAAAATAGTCAAATGTCCTGCTCGACCGCCGTTGCTGTTGTCGCTCTTTCGTCGCCCGGCCGTGCCGTTGAGTGAGTGGCGGCGCTGTGCAAGAGTTGTGCATGAGCAGATATGAGGCTCATCCAAGAGGGGGGTGGAAACTCGATAGGCATTGAAAGCCGGGCGGGACAGCGGGGAAACGAAGAGCCCAAAAGCGCTACCGCACCTGCCAAACGCAGTATGCTGTGTTGAGGGCGCATTGCCTGCATCCACGGAGTTTGTTATTTCAAAATGTCCCGGAGCTAGATTATGTTTAGTAAGAACGTCGAGCAAAGCTGGAGAGCTCGGTGGCTTGTTGGGTTTAAACCCTTGCTATCAGAGCTCTACTCTTTGGTTCTTTCGGTAAAGTCACGTAGATATAAAATATGAAATAAATTAAATCACGTTTCGATTGCAACACAAGCAATCATCAGATGTGAAAACTCCAGCGAGAAAATGTTGAGCTGAAGTGGGAGAGGTGCTGTGGTAAGAGGTTATATAAGTATTATATATTTTATAACTACGTGACTTTACCGACAGAACCAAAAAGTATGGATGCCTGCAGCCACAAAAACTTCTAATCTATCAGCTCTGTTGGGGATCTCGAGGCCATAGCTCGTCACACGCTGGGAATAGTACTGATAGGAACCACCTGGTTCCACCAGCCCACAGGGGATTATTGTGTCCGTCCGTCGTGCATCCACAAATGGGAGGGGTGGGGCTGGCTGGGTGGAGAGGGGAGAGGCTGGGTGGGGAGGGTGGGGAGGGGCTGGGTTGGGAGGGTGGGGAGGGGCTGGGTGGTGAGTGGGAGGGGTGGGGCTGGGTGGGGAGGGGCTGGTCACCCCGTGGTGCCCTTATAAAACTCAACGTTTAACCTACTCACGCCGGCTTGTACCCGCCCTCACAGTCGGCTATATTTGCGGAATACACCACGCCGCCGTTGACCCTGGCCATTGACCGAGCAACCCAACGTTCCTACCAGCTCCCTCCGCAGGACAATGTGTTTTAAGGTGTCCCGTGATTGCTGCGAGTGAATGCCGTGCTTCAGATAAGCACAAGCAGGACATTTTGGAGGCTGGATGTGACATGTGGATATTATTCTCTCTGTGTGTGTCTCAAAGTGAAGCTTATTGATCAGGCGTGGGAAATTCTGCACGATCCTATATCACAAGCTTTACCCTTTCATCACAGCAGTGCCCATGTGGGGGGGGGGGGGGGGTACCACGTGTTGCCATTAAGCACGATGAAAACACCATGTATCGCATGCTACTATGGGCAAATGCGTTTGTCACCACAAGAGTAATATTACATAGTGCTGTGACGGTAAACCCCAAAGCCAAAATGTGGGTCTGGTTTTCACCCGTCATTTATTGGCACCTATTGGGCAATTCATGCCACGAAACAACCATTAAATCCTCGTCCCTCCACTCCCATTTTTAATCCGTAAATAAATCGACGAGCAATAACAGCGCCGCACCTCCGTTTAGCATAGATGGCTACGTACGGTGCGAAAGAAGTTCAACATACATAGAAACAGCTCTCTACCAAGCTGTTTTCAAGTTGTAACCGCAGGTGTGATGTCCAACGTTTCGCGCCATGCGCAAGAGCTCCCGACACATGGGAGAGAAATGTCGAGAGGGCTCGCATCACGCCGGACAACACCCGGGCAGGTACAAACCCGAAAACATTCATCGGCAAAGCTATCCAGCACATACTCAAAGAGTATAGATCCCTGCAGTCAGAGCCGGCCCAGCCACTAAGCGACCCTTGCAATTGCAAAGGGCCCCGTGGCCAGCAGAGGGCCCCCTAGAGTCATTGCTAGCGAGTGGGTGAAAAAAATCATACATCAAAGGGGCCTCCAACCAAATTTTGCTTAGGGCCCCCAAAGGTCTAGGGCCGGTTCTGCCTGCAGTCACGAAAACTTCAAATCTAGACTATCCAACACAGCCGCGAGAACATACGCCCGTCATCAGTGATGGCTGTTTAGAGTGTCCGTGTCCCAACTTCTCAAGCCGGTGGCTACCTGAAGAAGTTGCATGCTTGTCAGGGCAGTCGCGTGCAGATGTCATTGTCTTTTTGTTACTGTTAGGGAGGGGTGGAGAGTGGGAAACCTATCCTTAATAAATTATAAATCGGCGAACACGTGCCTGACTTTCCTAAACGACCCACTGCACATGGCCACATGTCACAGTCAAATAAAGCAGAACGAAACCATCATCTCAAACACCTCTCTCTTCAAATGCTGGCAACTCGGCGTCTTCTAAGAGATAAAAGTGGAAAATCAAATGGATCCAGCATCTGCAGGCTGCTTGGCAAACTTCATGCTGGTGTTTCAAACACAGCAGCGGTCGGCGGAGAGACTGGAGCGCTGTTGATGGGTGTTGATCCGACGGCATGGAGGTACCCTCATGGGTTAAGTCGGAGGTGAATATTTCAAAAGGCGGCAACTTTTGCGCACCTTTGTCGCCACTGTGTCTGGCTCTTGAATGCGCCCCTGCGACTCTGTCGACATTCACATTTGCCACGGTTCAAAGAGACGACGCCACGAGTCGCGCGATAAAGTCATGCGGTGAAACATTTTCTTGAAGGCTTTTTCAAGTTTGGCGAAGTACGCGGCGGTGTGTGTGTGGGGCGTGTCCCCTCGGCTCTAAACACCGCAGCTGGCGGGGGCTTCGTGTCAGCTGTAACATTTGGCAGGCATGCTCGCGAGTGGAGAGTCTTCTGTTTTCGAATTTACAAGATACTGTCAGGATTGCCACCTGTTCTGGTTTTCGCCGGATTTGTCCTCCCATCGAGGTAGTCCTGGGAAATGTGTTCGTCTTCCCGGGACATTGAAGAAATCCAGGTTTTTTTTGTCAGTTTGTGTGATAATATACCACTTCAAGATGACGCATTCACATGCAGATCTCCCCTTTTCTGACGCCGTGAGATCATTCTTCTTACTCTTTGGTTCTTTCGGTAAAGTCACGTAGGCGAATAAATAAATAAATCGCGACGTTTCGATTGCAACACAAGTAATCATCATCAGGTGTGACAACCACAGCAAGTCACCTCCGTGACTTTACCGAAAGAACCAAAGAGTATGGAGCCTTGCAGTCACGAAAACTTCAAATCTACAATCATTCTTCTTGCTGTGATATTTTCAGTTTTTTTTTAACCTCCGAGGTGATATAACCTTAGAAGTTGCCCACGATCACTTGGTTGAGGCTTCATCAAGGGCAAGGGGAGCAAGTGGCCGAGGATGGGGGCTTTGCTGCATCTGTGAGTCAGGGATGGCTTCCTGTCACCTCCAAGTGGCACAGAGGGCAGCCGCTGGGAGGAGGAGGAACTGGGGGAACGGCACGAGGCCCATCGCACCACCGCACTCCTTCGCGTTCTCCTACAAGCAAGAAGAGCAGCGGCGATGCTTTAGTTAACATATATAAAGTATAATATACACACTGCATGTAATTGTTTTGAATCTTGGCCAGCAGCAAGAGCGATCATGCATGCAAAAACCCATGAGGTCTGTCCTTCCATCAACCCCCCGGCATGTCACATGATGTCACCAGACTGCACGTGTTAACGCACACGGCGTTGTTTCAGACCAGCGACTCAAAATTGTGGCCGTTTTTTAAATCTTGGACATCAGGAGCAGCAGCAGCAGTCCAATGGGACAGCTGAAGCCAACAGCTTTAAGAGGTCTGCTGGTTTAGGGGGAAAAAAATCCGAACTTATAATATGATAATTCTGATAGTTTTTATTTAGTTACTTATTATATCATAATCGAACCACTCCGAATAGGCCCGATGTCAGAAGCTCAGGAGAGCTGAGCTTTGATAAATACGTAGACGAGAGTCTGCCTGGGACTATCCCAGGTGTTATGAGATTGAGATGGTAAGGTGGCAATGACATGGGCAGTGCAACGGTGGATCCTCGAATCGATGTGCAACACTTTGAGCATCACCTCCCTCGTTGGCATGGGTTTTCTGTGGGAACACCTCCTACATACCACATTTACTACGCGTTCTTCGTACTCATTGACATGTAATTTTTTTCTCTAACCCCTCCCTCTCTCTGCCTCCGCCCCCCTCTGTCTATTTAAGGCCACCCCACAGAGACGATCACCCCTCTCTGTACCTGTGTTGCTCTCTCTATCTATCTTGGTGATATCTGTCTGCTTATATGTCTGTCTATAGTTTTCTGGTTAGATTTTTTGTTGCTATTTCATTTATACCTGATGACGATTGCTTGTGTTGCAATCGAAACGTCGTATGCAATTATTTAATTTATTATTTTATCTTTATACGTGACTTTACCGAAAGAACCAAAGAATGGAAATGGGCAAACAATTCAACAGGGGACATTTCTGAAAAAAGAGTAACGAGACTCACAGAGGCTTTCATAGGTTAAGAAAATGAATTATTCAAAGTATTTAGTACCTCAATGACATGAGGACCTATCTATTAATTATAGGTCTTTCTATCATTCTCAAAACTAAAAATTGTAAAATTCTTAGAATCTTGTTCCTGGTCAATATATGGTATCCGTGCAACACAAACCCGATTTATTATTTTGCAATTCCAGATTGTCTTGACGTATGACATTCGGGATTATACTATTATGGAATTATAAATCCACGTGATTTCAGATTTACATTACAGGGTGATGATTTAGGCTGAGTATTTCATTCCAAAAATCAGCTGGAATATGCCTGACCTTCAGATTTCATAAGTTAGGCAGGTCTGGGCCTGGATATTGCTTCTCTGAGTTGACCACTGTGTACACCAAGATGTTACAGGCGGCTGTGGGACTGTGCTTTATGTGTATGCAGCAGGGAGCAGTGCAGAATAATCCATTGTTGAACTGAGATTCTATGCTTCGATGTCTATGATCGCCACCATGACCAAGCCACACTGGTGAAGTATTATCAAAAAGCCTCCACGACCCCCCAATAAACTACGCTGATCAGCGTTGGTCGCGAAGTACGTTCAACTCTCATTTACCCTCACTCAGCAGTGCATTCACGTAAAAAGGCGGCATGTGTATAGTTAGTCAACCGAAAAAAACCCTGTATTATGTATTATGGCATGTGTATATATGCATATTGAAGAAGGGACAAGACGGGGGGAGGGGAGATTTGTTTGTGGGGTGTTGCGAGGGCGTCCTTACGTCCGGATGGAAAGCGTGGCAAGAATCCGGTCTGCGACGAACCTTCATCGAGCGCATGCGATCACACTTCACCGATTCATTATGTGAGCACAGTCAAGGGGCCGTTTTGAACAAGTGGGAGCAACAGATTCCGTCGTGGGTGGGTGACGAACGCGCCTGCAATGCGTCGGGTTTGTGAGGCTTCGTGATACTCTGGCCGTTAAGGCCCGTGAGGTCGGCCACAAGTCGAAGGTACGGAGAGAGAGAGGTTTTTTGTGAAGCCATCTCTGTGGACCTTGTGCTGGCGGGTTTTGTCTGGCTACTCCGGTTTTCTCGCGCATGCATCTTTAGGGGGAATGAATCAGGCAAATCCAAAGACAGGACTTTACTGGTAGAATAACACTGGTCAACACACTTTTTCTGGCATAAGGTATTCCAACGGTTTTAAGGTAATGTTGGGGTGCTGATTCCAAATCTGGCATCAGTTTTTGTCTATCACATTAGGTTTCAATAAAAACTGCAGAAGAAAAATATTAAATAAATATGGATATCTACATAAAATGATATTATAAACACACTATTCTAAAAATACAGCACCATATTGTAACACTAAAGCAGTCACTGACTCGCAACAACTTGCAATCATAAGTGACAGAGTTGATTTCGGGTAAAATCAATGAAAATGGGGTATGCCGATAGCATACAAATGAGATGTGATAGACCAAATCTGAGATCAGATTTGGAATCAGCACCCTGAAATTAGTCTAAAACAGCTGCAAAAGTCCAGGCCAGAAAAACATGTTTTTTTTGTTGACCAGTGTAATGTACGTATGTTGAACTTATTTCGCACCGTACGTAGCCAATGAGACTCGGTGAGGCTTAACCGGATAATCAGTGAAACTTTCTTGGTTGATTGATCCACACCCGTGAAATTTAGATGTTTTAACTCGCAAGTTTGTTTTCTCCTGGTGAAATATTTTTTATTAACCTAACGTAATAATAATCTTGTTAAAATTATTTAAAGAATTGCGGACATTTAGCAGAAAAACACACATTATGAGAAGGTGCATTTGAACTAAATCGAAATGTATAAATAATAAAACAAAGACCTTTAAACTTAACTTCTAGAACGAGATAAGTACAAGTATTATAATACATATATATATTCTGGACATGTAAATAAGTAAAGTTACTCAATGCTGCTGTAGTGCAATGAAGAACACTCTGGATGTATGTATGTATGTTGAACTTATTGTGCATGCTGGCAGTGAAAATAACGGGCAAGTTTTATTACTTCCACCCTCCCCGCGCCTCGTCCACCCACCCAACATTAAAATTGGGTAGCGCACAGTCGGTCGATCGGCAGGTCACATCCTCCGAGATGTCTGGCCAGCATGGAAGAGTCGGCCCTCTATAGGGGCCTCGCAGTAGTGCAGCCATCGAGTGTGCAGGCAGTGCAACTGCACCCGGGCCCAGAGGGGCACAGGAGCCAGACGACCCTCTAGTCGAGGCCTTTCTGCCCGTAGTGGCCGTGAGCAGGCAATTGCAGTGCTGCACCTTTGCCAGTGCTCACAAACTTCAAAAAAATTAACCCGTAAAAACTAAGTTTTTCACTATAAATCCTTTATATGTGTGGCGGCTAGAGTCCTCTCGTCCTCTGGCTTGAGATGGCTGCCACCTATGGGTCAGATGATTGCATGCCACCATTAAGCAATTGGTAATTAAATATAATTTATTTTTTCCTAAAAAGTGTAAAATAAATTGTCACGCACAACGAGTCTGTGTGCAAAATGTCAGCTCGATTGGATCACGGGAAGTGGGTTAAAAAACGACCGAAAGATTTGCACGGTCGTAAGCGCGCAAGCAAGCAAGCAAGTGAACTTAATATAAAGGATTTAAAAAATACACATAAACATAGATCTAAAACGTAAAATAGTTGTAAAACTGGATGAAAACTCAAGTGCCCACTTGTAAGTATTGTGATGCACAGACAGGGGTTGGGAGCACGAAGAGGATATATTTAATTTCGTAGGAGTTGAGCAACATGGGAGCCACGGTCGTGCACTCGCAGTCGCCGTCCACAACCACCATCATCAGGTTGCTGTAGGGTATCTGCTGCATGACAAACGTCCTGTGGAGAGAGAGAGACAAGGTCACAGGTGAGACGCTGCACACAACACACAACCCTCTTATGTACACCGTGCATGCGACACGCCGTGCGGAAATATCTTGGATCCTGCGCTAGTTCATTCTGCAAGTCCACGTGGCTGCACTTGGCATAGCGTGCTTGACACGGGCCCTGGTGTGGGGAATTAAATGGGCAACCCTGTCCAATTTCCTGGCTCCTGTGCCCCTCTGGGCCCTGGCGCAGTTGCACCGCCTGCACACTCGAAGGCTGCGCCATTGCGAGGTCGTTGGGTTATGCGCGTTTATGTAAAATAATCCAAACATTGACGAGGCAGCGACTGGTCGCATAAAACACACTTGGTGGCGGGGGGGGGGGGGTAATAAAGGGGAAAAACATCACAGGGCATTTTAAGTGAACGGCCAGAAATTAATATCTTCATGAAACAGCTGAAACACATCGCCTTGGAAATTTTCCATGTTCTGCATATTAAAGACATCTGCACATTTTTTTTTTGCAGAACATCTGGTGAAAATAAATAAATAAATGCCAGCACCTGATTCGAGCACAGAGGCGTCTGTGCTCGAATTGAGCGTCGGCGAAGTGCGGCATCTCAGTTTTGTGGATCTTCGGTCGTCAGTGGTGGGTGCACATACCCGTGGTCGGAGCCAGTTTATCCATGGCACGACTACTGTTGATTGTTGCACACGTCGTTGCAACATTTCGTTTACCACAGAACGATGATAATAAGGGATGGTGGTGGGAGGGAGAGGTGGCAGGACTGGTTCCGAAGTAACTTCCTTTCATCAGTGGCCAACAGATGACTGGCTAACATCTGTGAGATTCCAACTCAAGGCCGCAGGTTCATGCCGCAGGTCGCTAACCGCCGCGACACGAACGCCATCTGAAATATAAATGTGAAAAAGTTACGTAAAGCCATCATGGCAATCATGACTCGGCTCTTCTCAGGAAGAGTCATTTTACTCAAGGCTACCAGAATCCAAGCCACGGTCCGGCTTTCCCACTCCGGCGTGACTCTAAATTCATGTCCATCCGCACACAAATTACACGTTGCGCACAGTGAATTGCCAGCTTGTGGCGGAGGTGTGGAACGTCGTGACAAGGGCTTCTTGGCACCTCATCTCCTGCGTCAGGAGCCAACGGAACGCACTCCTTGGCCAGCGGCCTGTCTGTCACACACATCCCAACCTCCCGCGAAGGCCAGCGCGGTGCCCGACAGCGGCACGCGGAAAGCTCAAACGCGCTCGGGGTTCGAACGTTGGCTGCCGCGCCCTTTCCCAAAAGGTTTTGTGACGCCACGCGCGTTTCTGGCCAATGCGCCGCCGACGTCGGTCTGTGGCCAGGGCGAGAGATGCCACAATGTGATGCGTGGCCAGCGTCCCTCGCTGGTGGGCAGACAGGTGACTGTGGCACACGGCCTCCCCGTGGATGAATGCGCTGGCAGGTTTGTCGTCGGTGCGGTGCACCAGGCAGGCTGCGGCGAGTGGCCCCGACATAAAAGGAATGAGAGGACAGCGGGCTTTCAGCTGGGGTATCGCGACGGGAGGATGGTACGGGCCCCGCGGTGGGCATGCTTTTATGGGTCCTGTCACCACATCTCACCGCAGACTCATCCTGCCCACAACAAAGCCTTTCTGTAAGCACTGGAAGGAAAAGGTTAACAAACAGCAGCAAAAAAAGCCCCAGCCTCTATAATAAATTCTCTGGCGTCTGTGGGTTTGCAGATAATAGGTCAGTAATTACAAACTGCCATCGTGAAATTTGTGCAGGTATTTCGAGAGGGTTTATCTGATGGTGTCAAACTTTTTTTTTTATCCATCAGCGTCTTCTTTTTTTTATGGGCCATCGCATGCATTGAAGCAGGGATTTGAATTGCAAACGTACGGTAAGTAACTGGAATAGAGAGTGGAAAGAGAGCATACAGATGTAATTATCAAGAGGGAGGTTGCAATTGGCTTGGGCGGGGGGGGCGGGGTCACGTCAGGATGGTGGGTGGAAACTTACTGAGAGAGGCATTTTACAATGGGCACCCAGGAGTTAACAACCAACACAGAAGACCTAAAACCTGACGCTGGGATATTGTAAGAGCGACTCACATTCTTCCTCGCTCTGATTTTGTGAGTCTGAGTCCAGAATGCGCCTCACCGTGCCCCCTTGAACACTTCTCGGCATTCGCTCAGTTTTCATCCGTGAGCGCTCATGGTTACGATCAATGCCACCGGAGGTAACACGCCACCGATGTTATACGTACGCTATATTCCGTAGGACCTATGCGCGCAACCAGACGTCTCATAGTGAGACATTGGAACCCTGCCCTGGGAATGTGGAATGTACTCCAATGACTCAAGAGCTGCCAGCGGCGGTGAGCGCCACCCTTGCCGTTGGCTTGGACTTGCAGACGCTTTGATGCGCACGACGCAGCAGACAAAGCGGTGTCTGGACACGAGCCAGTAGAGGATTTTGCATGTTGCGTAAGCGTGGGATGGCGTGACCAATACTTTTCGTGCAAAAAAACACAAAACGGTTCAGTAATGAAATTAATAGCATTCTCCTCCTCGTGGTTGTGGAAACTGGCAACAACAGCAAAAGTCTGTGGCTCATGCCAGCAAGCATAAGGAGTTTGTTGTTGTCAAATGTTTGATTTAATTGGCCGTCGCTGCAAATTTAGGACGACTTAAATGAAACTCTTAGGTTTTTTCGGTAAAGTCACGTAGGTAATTTTTTAAAAATAATAATTACTTGATACAGCAAGCGTGCTGTGACGGTTCCACCTGAAGACGGAAGCTTGTGTTGCCTCCGAAACGTCGTGATTTTTATTTTACTTCTATTAATTAAAAAAAATTTTGACCTACGTGACTTTACCGAAAAAACCTAAGAGTACGAATCCTTGCAGTCACGAAAGCTTCAAATCTAGACTTAAATGATCTCATTCGCCGGTACGGAACGACGGCAAGGGGCTGGAAGAAGGAAACACGCGGACCAGAGACCGTAGGGGAAGTTGAAGACATCACGTCCACTGGCAAGAGAGGTAAGTCGTCGCCTAATGAGAAGCGTGGCCGGTGGCCGAGACTAATGACGGAGTGGCAGCCGCAGGAACGCGCGCACGAAGACATCCACCGACACGCGGTCAGGAAACACAGATGGATTGTTGAGACTGTGAGAGGTGGCGACGGCTTAGCGAGGCCTTTGTCCAGCAGTGGATAGAGCATAGCACAATTGTGTACATAGATGTATGTTGAAGCCTTTTTTAATTGTACTTAGCCAACCGTGCTAGTCGGAGGTGTGGAGGGGAAGGACAACAAAACAAACACAAACAGCAGTTCTAAAGCAATGACTTTTTAATCTAGATTTTATCTAGATTTAGAAATGCGCAGCTCCAGTGGCTTCCTAATATCAGAAGGAAGAGCGTTCCAGACGGCCACAGAAGGGCATCTGAAAGCGCGTGATGCAGGTCACCCGCCTTTGTTCGACGGTTAACCAAAAGCCGATGTGAAAATGACAGGAGTTTGCGTGATGAGGGTTTATGCTCCTTGTAAATAAAGCAATGATGAAATTAATCAAGCAAAAGTATTATCATTCATTTAGCTCATAATGATTGCTGAATAAATGTTCAACTAAGTCTCATCATGTATGTATTACCAATCTGTCTAAGGCGCCCACGTGACTGGCACATAGGGGCCGTCCATAAATGACGTCACGCACCTGGGGGGGGGGGGGTCAGACATTTGTGACGATGTGTGACGAGGGGGGGGGGGTGATAAATGCGCAACTTTAAATAAATATAGACAACACGTTCTACTTAATTAAATAGACGTTTTAATAAATGCTTTCTCCTACAACATCAGAGTGCAGCGCCACATTAAATACGCACTACAATGACAATAATTTATAGCGATTTGAAGCATGTTTCATTTTTCGGGGGGGGGGGGGGGTGGGGGAGAGCTTTGTGACGTCATATTTGTGGGGTGGTCTGACTTTTTGTAACGCCATGTGACGACGGGGGAGAGGGGGGGGGGTAAAAAATCGTCCAAAATCGCGTGACGTCATTTATGGACGGCCCCATATGAGAGAGCAGACCCCTGTTGTATACTAACCCTTCTTCCAAAATTGAGATTAATAATATTTGATGATATTTTTATATATTATCTTTTTACTTGTTTTTTTAATGAATGAAACACACCAAAAGCGCAGCAAACTGCAAAACACCAGGTGTTGTTAAGTAATGAACTGGAGGAGGGCTAGGATGGCAGAATTTGCAACCTTGCTTCAAGGAAAGATAAGGCCTGATGAACGGGCACATGTCACCCGTGCAGGCGGCAGAGACAGTGGGAGTGTCAGCCAGACATAGTTAAGGCAAAAAGCCCAACCATCCTGCATGGTTTTAAAGTAACGTCAAAATTCGAAATTCAACAACAGAGTAGGCTAAAGTATCGATCCTCGCGCTCGCTCAAATTGGAGACCAGGCTGCGAGCTACATCAATGAACCATTGCCCATTTGCTAATCCAATACTGAATGTTAATATTACTGAAGTCAAAACGAATTCTATGACCTCAGCACATGGCCAAATAATAGGGCAGTGTCGACTCAAAGGCAATGGAAGAAAGCAGAGGCGCCTTTGTCTAAATCACAACCACAGAAAGCCAGGAATCATCACTGATTGTGTGTTTAGGGATTCCGAGCTAGTTGGAACACGTGCACAGGGGAGGGAGCTGATTTAAACAACCCTGCACGTCTGAACGTGAGGGGGCCTTTGACCTGAAATTAAGAATAACACTCCCAGAGCAGAAGGTTGGATGGCCACAGTGGGACGAGAATAAGAGTGGTGTATATCTCTCAAGGAGGCAGACCCAGCTGAACAACAAGGCTGCGGGGGTCACCAGAAGTTCGCGTTCGCCTAGTTAAGACAAAAAGCTCAATTATTCTGTATTGCTATTAAAGTAACGTTAAAGTCGGAATTTAACAACAGGGTAGGCTAAAGTTATTGATATTCACACCCACTCCAATTAAACCAGGCCACAAGTTACGCCTACTGAACCATCACCATCATTAAGTCAATATGAAATGTTATTTCCATACTTTAATACTTTCTATACAACTCGACCCGAAGCATATGACAATCAGAACCTTCCTAAGTCAAAATTGAATCGCACCCAGACAGGAGCGAATAGTCGATATAAGGTTGAAGAGGGAAGGAAATTAAGAGCACGGCGAACTGCAAACGTAAGCAAAAAGCCGGGAACGACACCAGCCCAGCAACAGCGAGTCGGGCTTCGACAGGCCATAAAAGTAGAAATAATAACTCCCGGGGTCAGGGGATACAAGAAGAAGCAGGCAGACAAAAACCAGAACTGACTCCAAGGTTCAACCGCCCTCACCTACAAGGAGTGACGGAAATTAATGAGGCCTTGAGTTAACGGCGTCAGCTGGACGGCAATAATAACGGCGAGCAGAGATAGGGTGGGGCAAAGACTGCGGGGCTATGGAATGCAACTTCGTGTCAGTAAAGCCCTGACAAACAAGTTAAGTTAAAGACATCACAATACATAATATCGTACATAACATCAATGTTAACGCTATTCACCGTAAACTATATTCCGCTTATATAACCATGCAGACACCAAGGAATACGAATTCCTAGGATCAAGAACTTACCCTTAACCTAAGATATCGGAAATAAATTAATAATAATAAGCATATGCATGAAAAGACAAAAGTAAAACTTATGGAAAAGCCAGGATAACGGGATGAATCACCACCAGGTCGAATATAAATACATAATAAAAAAAAACGATGTTAAACCCAGGGTCGGAAAGAAAGGGAGATCCCGGCCGTCTTTGTATCCCCGCAGCGCGGGATAGGAGTGTGTATACGCTCGGGGAAACACCTCCACTTGAGTCAAGCACCACGATGGGAAACGACAGACCTTAGGTTACATACAGAATCATAACTGTGAAATAGTAAGGGACAAATGTTAACTTAAAACTTCTTAACCATTTCTTTGTGCGCCGGGTCGGAGAGAGTGTTGCCCCTCCCTCCAGGTTGTGCAACACGAACAAAGACGCCTATGAGACGATTTGTAACGTCTGTGTTTTGGGTTCATGAAGAAGGCCAGACAAGAGATAATATTGCACCCAGACAGAGAGACGACTTCGAGGCAATTTGTAACATCTGATTGTTTGCTCGTGGGTTTTATGGAGGGAGTGTGACAACGGAATATACCGTACGGACACACACATGGACACACCTGCCTACGGACAGATCCTGACACAGCAAAAATCGAAAGAAGCCCCGCCTTGTGGGCGGGATCCAGGGGGATTTTTCGGCATAAAGGAAAGGATCCTGAGCATTGGAAATTAGTGCGACCAGCGGGTCGGCTCACGTGGGGAGTGCGACCAGCGGGTCGGCTCAGGAGCGAGCTCGACCGGGAGGGTCGGCTCAGGAGCGGGTGCGACCAGCGGGTCGGCTCACGTGGGGGGTGCGACCAGCGGGTCGGCTCAGGAGCGAGCTCGACCGGGAGGGTCGGCTCAGGAGCGAGTGCGACCAGCGGGTCGGCTCGACTCATCTTCAGCTCGTCTGGGACTCAGCCGAGTTCGATTGGCTTACCAAAGCCGGCTCTCGGGGCTCGACTCAAGCGGCTCCCCATCTCCTCTGCAGGCGGGCAAGACCCGCTTGACAGCTCAACTCGGCCTGCGTGGGTCAACCTCTGCCGAGTCGGAGGTCTCTGCTGCCGCCGGAGTGGTGAGGGTCGCGGTTTGGCGACGAGGCTCCGTGCACACCCTAGTCGACGACAACACTGCACGCTGCGAGCGAGTTGTGGGCGCCACCTACCGACCGGGTTCCGAACTGCGACAGCGTATCAACGGGCATCCGAACCAGTTCACCACGGTGACAGGGGAGCGACTGATACGTATGACGCGCACCGCCCCCTCACCACACGACCACCAGGCGTCTGTTTGACATAAAGAATCGACTCCGAACACTGACTATTCAAGACAACTCTTACCACTCAAACACACTCGAACCCATAAGCCATCTGTGGCTGGGAAGGCATCACAACGAGACCGAGTGATGGCCATCCGTCGTTTATAAAAGTATTCGTAATTTTTATCTTTAATATTTAGTGGGCTGTACTCTTAATCGCATAAATTCCCAACAGATCCATCAATACGAACTGATTCTTGGCACCTCCTTCCGCCGAGCCACGCTCACGTGGGGAGTGGTGGCCCACCGGATCCTTATCAGGTGATCTGGTCCCCAATTAGTAAACTTGGTATAAGATAACGATCTTCGGAAAAGGAGCACCGTCGCAGGCCCTTACTCCGAGCCGTTCTGTTGTCAGATAACCTGCCGATGTATCTGTTGAGATTGGTGCCTTTAAGAATAATAACTGTTTTTGATTGTGTTTTTTTTATCGCCGTATAATCTTTCAAGTATCTATCAGTCATAATCGCCGCACGTACTCGCATCCTCTACAGAATATTCAACTGTCCCGTGACCCAAGGTGCTAACAACGTGATAAGGGTTGCGTATGATCAATAAGGAGTGCGGTACTGCGTGAACAATGTTGAGTATGATCATTCATTAACGTTAAGGTTTTCTTAGCATAGTATTTGCATATTTTAACGACCCTCTCTCTCACTAACAACCATCGCGTTATGCGGGATCCATGTGCCGTTGTCAAAGTGAAATCAGACAATCGTTGATGATACTGTATTGATGCCGTGTTGACGTTCCGGGATTGAGAGTTCGCATACTATATCATAGTTAAGGTTGAATTAGTAAGAAATTGATCAATACAGAAGTGGTTGTGTGATTCTTTCCTGAAATCTATGCATAAGATCTGCTTCTGCGTTGAGATCTGAACTTGGTGACCTTAATAAACACACTAATACATACTCAGTAAATGTTAAAGCGATAACGGGGTGAACCGGGGACCTAAAATATAACCACGAATACACACTCTGGGAATGTTAAAGCGAGAATGAGACGAACCTAGACAACGATGCCGAGTTAATCTAAGTTAATCTTGCATACTTACACCACACCTGCATAACTGCATACGATTAATTGCCTTATTCCGATCGATAACCCACCCTCGTCACCGAGGCGGGGTCTGGTTATCATAACGACTTGCATTATCATAATTACACCCACTCGCATAATTAATACGATTACCTCTCGAATTGGCATAATTAAAATGTGCATAATTACATAAATTAACATATTTCCGGATAATTACACATTTGGCCAAATTTCATTTAATTATTATTATTTTCACTGAATATTCATAACCCACATATACAACATAATAATTTCACCCACGCACGCATACAACATAACAAATTTTGATAACCAACATATACAACACCCCCGTATCGACTGCCACTGTGTTCCCGTGCAAGGCAGGGTAGGGTTGAAGTAGAGGTGTGTACGTTTCTCGCAAACCGCTCACTTTCGGCAGCCGCAGTTGAGGATGCCATTGGTCTCTTGGATGGAACGGTCGGTAATGAACGCGGAGAACGTGGTGTCACATGGCTCCAGGATGTCGTGCTTCCTGTGTTTGTGCGCTGACGACACAAAGACCAGCACCTCGGATTAGCGCGCTTGGCCTACGTACGGCGCGAGAGAGGTCCGACATCCATGCTGTGCATACAAAAGCGAGAGAGTTTAACACGTAGACACATTCCAAATGATTACTAATCTACAACTCGCATCGTAACAATAGCCTGATTACCAATCTAGTATATAATTACAATAACCCCCCCCCTCAAATATTTGCACCTGATGAGTTAATGAGTTAATGATGACGTCACCCTGCTGCTGCTGCTGCTCTATATAAGAACGGGAGACACAGCAGAGCCTCACCATTCTGGCGAATTGCCCGATGATGCTGGATGCAATTACCAGCGAAACGTCGTACTCAAATTGTAAATGTTGTGGTTTCACGCTTCAACACACCGGTGGGCTAAAGCAGTGAACTATTTGTCCTTTGTCAACGTGACACGTTTTTAAATCCTTTATATTAAGTTCGCTTGCTTTCTTGCGTGCTTGCGTGCTTGCATGCTTGCTTGCTTGCTTACGACCGTGCAAATCTTTCGGTCGTTTTTTAACCCACTTCCCGTGATCCAATCGAGCTGACATTTTCCACACAAACTCGTTGTGCGTGACAATTAATTTTCGTGAAAAAAATTCCAAAATGTTACACTGTTTAGGGAATTCTTTTAAAATATTTAATTACCAATTGCTTAATGCTGGCAGACAATCATCTGACCCATAGATAGCAGCCATCTCAAGCCAGAGGACGAGAGGACTCTAGCCGCCACGCATATAAAGGATTTATAGTGACAAACTTTGTTTTTACGGGTAAATTTTTTACTGATTGGCCGTGTCAGGTGGTGGAGGGTTACGACACATTTATAAGTAACGCGATCTAAACCCAAAAACGTTGATTATGAAAAGCGAGAGAGCCCAACACGGGGTGTGCACTCATTCTGAGTTGAAACGGGTGAACGCGGGCACTCACGTAACGATTGTTGTTGGTGTTCACCCTTGTTCTCACTGCGAGCCATCCTCAATCTACCCTGATTGGGTCAGGAGCTACTCAGCGATCGATTAAATGAGTACCGATTGGCGATAATTCAGCAGTGGTCCTATGGAACATCTTTGGCCCCCGCCATAGGAATGTGGAATTGCCATCACTGTCTCGGAATTGCTTTAAAAAGCCTAATAAATAACTCGCATTCTTTGAATCGGGTTGGGTAATAACTCGATCAAATCGCCACTACCGGCACCATGTCCTGTGACTTGAGTACTGATTCTGCTGTAGTGTTCTGATCATAACTGTCTGTCATGTACGATCCACTGCTGGATGAGGGCCTGCACATGCCGTGGGGTCTACTTGACCATATTGCCTGATGTCGCCCCCAGCATTTATCAATTGGTGGAATTTGTCACGCGTAGCTTATATCTCCATAAACCCAATAAATTTCACCTTAAATGATTCAACAACATATACAACTTGTATACATTTCTCCCATGTCTGTAAGTAGGTTAATTCATTTTGGAAGGGTGTGTTAATATTTGAATATCCTACTAAATCTAGAATTTGCATATCCCGTCAATTTTCTAAATAACATTTCATTTCATACACGGACGTTTCTCTGAACTAAAGAGCAAATAGGAAGCAGGGTTTAACCACGATGCTGCTTTACCACTCTTTCATTTTCTGCTGCTAAACACTCTAAAATGAACAGTCAATACAAACTCTAACCACTCGATGTAGCTGGGTGGCGCACTAGCGCGGCGGTTAACTTATGAAACCGCCAACCTGAGTTCGATTCCGGACCACATCGAGCACATCAATATTAAGAGCGATGTCTCTATCCAATGTCAACCAGCATTGGTAGCTGGCGCGATTTAAACAACTCCCATGACGGACACGGTACGATGCATTAGTCCGGCATTAACGTATTGACAACTGGAAGCACATTACATTATTATTATTATAATAAACACAGAACTCCATTGTTCTTCGTGGCCTAGACGCTTCCCATGGGACCCTCATGGGCTTGTTTTGTGCAGTTCATAGAAGTGCACTTCAATGCGACTCAAGCTTTTCTAATACGACCGTTGGGTTTCGATTTAAAGCTTTCGTGACTGCAGGGATTCATCTTCTTGGTTCTTTCGGTAAAGTCTCGTAGAAGGGAAATAATAAAATAATAAAAATTAAACATAATAAAATAATTCTCACGACGTCTTTCCGACAGACCTTTTCTTCACCTGAGGACGGCTGCTTGCGTTGTGGCCGAAACGTCGTGAGAATTATTTATTATGTTTTATTTTATTATTTTATTATTTCCATTTTATGTGACTTTACCGAAAGAACCAAGACGACGACCGTTGGGCATAACAGAAGAAGAATAAGAAAAAAAACAACCAACACGAAGCGACTTATTGTTATGCCCCTTCCACACGCGTCAATAATTGTCGGCAGATTGACAGGAGGGCAGAATGTGAGTAAATGTGTCCCGTGTCCTTTTATAATGCGACCCAGAGCGGAGCGTGCGGGCGGGCGGGCGAAATGAAATGTGTCCCCTCTCTGCAAACATATTGCGGTAATGTGTTTACGCAGATTCTTGGTTAATAATAATAAAAATTAAACGTAATAAAATACAATTGTATTTTGAGAATTGTATTTTATTATGTTTTATTTTTATTATTTTATTATTTCCCTTCTACGTGACTTTACGTAGAAGGGAAATAATAAAATAAAATAAATAAAACATCATAAAATACAATTCTCAAAATACAATTGTATTTTATTATGTTAAATTTTTATTATTTCATTATTTCCCTTCTACGTGACTTTACCGAAAGAACCAAGAAGATGAATCCCTGCAGTCACGAAAGCTTAAAATCGTGTTTACGCAGCCTTCGGCCAACCGCGGAATGAAAAAAATCCAACGACTCCATTTATACGGGCACGGCAATTGTGCTTTGAAGTAGAATAAAATCAAATTGAACTTTGAGGTTCTCTGGCTAATGCACGGATCGCGACAGCGCATTGAGATGAACGTGCGCTGGCAGTGCCCTCTGGTGGTGTTAGATCACAGCACGGATTGTTGGAGCTCCAGGATATTTTTACTCCTGTGATATTGAAGACTGCCGGATCAAGGCTGGGTTAATTGTGACTTCGGTTCAATATCACGATGCGTAGAAACCACGACGTAGTTCAGGCAATAAACATGACTACTACTATACGCCCTCTTCTCAATACGCTATCGGACAAAGGCCTCCCCGTGCCGTGTCGAACATGGGGGAGTTATTCATAATCAACGTTTTTGGGTTTAGATCGCGTTATTTATAAATGTGTCGTAACCCTCCACCACCCGACACGGCCAATCAGTAAATAAGTGTCACGTTGACAAAAGACAAATAGTTCACTGCTTTAGCCCACCGGTGTGTTGAAGCGTGAAACCACAACATTTACAATTTTTGAGTACTAAAAAATTGTAAATGTTGTGGTTTTGAGTGTACTCAAAAATTGTAAATGTTGTGGTTTCACGCTTCAACACACCGGTGGGCTAAAACAGTGAACTGTTTGTCTTTTGTCAACGTGACACTTTTTTACTGATTGGCCGTGTCGGGTGGTGGAGGGTTACGACACATTTATAAATAAACGCGATCTAAACCCAAAAACGTTGATTATGAATAATATTGGTCGCGAAAGCCTACGTGTTAAATGGGGGAGTTGTTTGACCATACTTCACCGCCCTGGTCTCTGTGGGGTGGTGAAGTAGGGAGAGGGTTCACGTTTATGGTAGGTGTGGCAAAGAATTAAACTCAGGTCGATAGTTTCATAGCCCAGCGTGTGCCACTGTGCCCCCTACAAAAGTCAAGATGCTCCGGCTTTCCCCTCCACATTAAGAAACAAGCATTTAGAGCAGCGGTCGGGAACCTATGGCTCGCGAGCCATATATGGCTCTTCCGGTGACGGCATATGGCTCCCAGACAATTTTGAGTTGAAAAAAATAATAATAAAAACATAAAAATAAAATCAGTTTGGAACTGATTTTAAAATACTTGTGATATTGCTTAATAATAGTGTGTCATTTTAAAGTAAACAGAAATTAGTTTTGAAGATAAAATTTCTCGGGTCACGGGTCCCGTAACCAGAAGTTGCATTCAAAGTAAGACATTTAATTTATTATACGTTAAAAATACTATATGGCTGTCAATGAAATATATTTAGAAATATTTGGCTTTTATGGCTCTCCCAGTCGAAAAGGTTCCCGACCCCTGGTTTAGAGTATTTGGCCGCTATAAATGTCCACGTCATATTCATATCACGATACAGGCAGATGCAAGCACCCATTGCCGTGCTGCCATCTCATGGACACTTTGCAGCCAAGCCTACAGCACCTGTTATTTAGTCTATGGGTCTTTCGGTAAAGCCACGTAGATAGAAAAATAATAAAAAATATCACGACGTTTCGATCGCAACACAAGCAATCGTCATCAGGTGAGAGAGAGAGAGCTGCTGAGACAAGGTCTTATATAGGCCTGAGATGGGTGCATCAAGGTAGGTGGGTGGAGCTAGAGATGGTCCAACCAACGGAGGCTGGGGCAGTGGCCTTTGTCTTGTGAGAGATTAGCCTAATTCTAGATTTGAAGCTTTTGTGACTGCAATGATTCATATTCTTAGGTTTTTTCGGTAAAGTCACGTAGGTAAAAACATTAAAAAGTAAAATAAAATAAAAATCACGACGTTTCGGAGGCAACACAAGCTTCCGTCTTCAGGTGGTACCGTCACAGCCACGACAACTGTATCAAGTAAATGAGAGGTTAGCCTGTAGCCTGTAGGGCAACACCAACGTTGTGGAGGTGGCCATTGTATTGTGAGAGATTAGCATGTCAATATAAGAGAACCACCGCAACGGTGGATGTGCTAGTGAGACATTCAGCCCGTTGATTGTGTGTAGCCAAAGTGTAAGTGGGCGGGGCTAGAGATGGTATTTGCATGTAAATGTAAGATCGGAGGGCGCCCTGAGGCTGTGGAGGTGGCCAT